TTTTGTTGGCTAGTGCTTGAGGTAGAGCCGCATGTTGGTCTCTTGATAGATTTCTGTAGGAAAATAGATACAGGAAGTTAGTTCTGACGAAGATGCATTTGCTAAGCAGTGACAGAGTGAGCCCTTTCACCTGGAGATGTGTGGCCCCAGATGAGGACAGTTTTATGGTGATACTGACAAACTTGTTTGGAATTTGTTGACTCACAGTAACCTTTGTGGTGGGTGGGAGTCACAGACGGCTGGATCCCACAAGCCTTCAAACCAAGATGCAACTGGTACTGAATGGAGGAGAAATACATCCTGAAGCTTAGTTTAACCTTATAGATGTCACAGAGCTTGAATGTAAGAGACTAAAAATACTAATCTGTGGATGCCGCTCGGTGTTGCTAAACAGACCTTGCAGAGGATGTAGATGGTGCTGAAGGTTAACTTGCCAGGGAGGGAGTGCTTGTGGTGGAGGTGGGGATAATGTGGTCAGTAAAACATTTGTTTTTTCCATTTCAAAGATGTACTCATTTATTTGAAAACCAGGATGACAGGAAACAGAAAAGGAGGGGAATCAACCCCGTTCCTTCACTCCCTAAAAGTCCAAGGTTGGGACAAGCTGGAAGCCGGAGCCAGGAATTCAGGGATGGCAGGACTCCAAGAACTTGGAATGTCAGTTGCTTCCTCCAAGGTGCCTTAGCAGGAAGCTAGGTTGGAAACAGTTTAACCAGCCATTAAATCTCACCTGCTGTGACAGGGAATACCGGTGGTCTAACCCTCTGTGCTTCAAGATTCGTTTTTGTTTTTTAAAGATTTATTAAATTTTGTTAAAGTGTATTATTATTGGAAAGATTTACAGAGAAGGAGAGACAGAAACATCTTCCATCCCCTGGGTCACTCCCCAAGTGGCCGCAACAGCCAGAGCTGAGCTGTTCCGAAACCAGAGCTGAGCTGTTCCGAAACCAGGAGCTTCTTCCAGGTCTCTCACCTGGGAAAGTGAGCTGATCTGAAGCAAGGAGCTGCTTCCATCTGCTACAGGTGCAGGGCCCTGGGCGGTCCTCTACTGCTTTCCTAGGCCATAAGCAGGCAGCTGGATGGGAAGTAGAGCAGCCAGGACATTTACTGGCACCCAAATGGAATCCCAACATCTGCAAGGTGAGGCTTGAACCATCAAACTGTTGGCCCCATCATGGGCATTTTAAGGCAAAACTGACATTTTTTTCCCACTTCCATTTTCTTTTAAATGCCTTGTGCATGATGGTTAAGAAAAAAACAATGCTATGACTACTGCTACTTTGTGTCATTGCCTTTTATTTGTGCTGAGGTACCAGCAGTTTTGCCCACTGTGGTGTTTTCACCATTAAAGCAACAAGTCAGTCTGTTGAAAGGGGCGATTTACATGTTGGTGTTAGAGAAAGAGTTTGGAGTCTGAGGGCCCCACTTTGAGAACCAGTTAAGCAAGTGCGTAGGCCCACTAAGTATACTATCTTCTCTTCTTTGCAATTTTTAAAAAAGCATATCTGATGTAGTAACCAATCAGTTACTAATTGTGCAGATTTTAAAAGTAGATTTTAAAGGCTTTTAGTCCAGAGTAACTTTTTATATTTTTCTAGTACAAAAGTTTACTATATAGATACTAATGTAACCAATGAAGGTTTAAGCCTAGTGAGGGTTCCATGTTTTCAAGAGGACAGAAAACACAAAACTAAAGCAATAAACTGGCCTAAGTGATGTGTTCCGAAGCACACTTAAAGATGCACCAGTGGAGTAGCCAGGACTTGGATCGGCACTGTGGTACGGGCCGCCAGCATTGCCAGCAGTGCCTTAATCTACTGCATCACAGTGCCAGCCCCAACGTACGGGATTAATTCTGAAGACAGTCAAGAGGTTGGGACACATTAAGAAGGGAAAGAGAATACGAGCACAGCCATTACTGAAGTTACGTTAGGACTATTCATGATGTCTGTCTGCAAACTTAGTATTATCTTTGAAGGAAGTTTGGTAAAGTGCTCTGGAAATACTGAGTTTCTGTGGCTTCAGCTGTATTAAATAATTGAGATGATAGTTCTCAAAGTAGTGTTTCTTTGAAACTGCAAAAAATTGTTTTCTTTTACTTGAACCTAGTTCAGCTAAAATCTAATACTTTCCTGCGATTTCTAATGGAAGTAGATTAGCTTATTTGTGTCTTAAATTTAAAATATACACAGATTTTTAAAAAATATTTTTTTCATGCTACAGATATGTAAGCATAAGCTCCCCCTCTTTCCTCTCTATATCCTTCTCCAGTTATGTGTCCCCAAGTTATCATAATGGCGTATTCATTCATTTCACCATTACAATCTTTAAAAAAAAAAAGATTTAAAAGAGGAAGAGAGAGAGTAAGATCTTCTGCTTGATGGATCACTCCCCAAGCGACCCCAGTGGCTGGTGCTGAGCCAATCCAAAGCCAGGAGCTTGGAGCCTCTTCCTCCTGGTCTCCCACACAGGTGCAGAGTCCCAAGACTTTGGGCCATCCCCCACTGTTTTCCTAGGCCACAGGCAGGGAGCTGGATGGGAAGTGAGGCCACTGGGATTAGAGCCGGTGCCCATATGGTATCCCGGTGCATTCAAGGTGAGGGCTTGAGCAGCTATGCTATCACACTGGACCCATTTCACCATTACAATCTTAGCTTTCTGATGTGTAAGTGTATCATGGCATGGCAATGAAATGGAAGAAAATGAAATAGTGTAAAAGTATAACTAAAGACAATAACGAGAATCCTGCTATTACTCAATAGTAAAGATGCATGCTGTATTCATCTATTGTTTGCCAGTATGCAAATCTCCCTTGTGCAGTTTATAAGTGTGTGCGCGCATGCATGTGTGTGCTCTGTGAGTTGTTGCATATCAGAGAAAATGGAATTTTTGTCTTTTGGACTTGGCTTATTTTCCTACACATAATGGTTTCAACTGGTTTTTTTGTTGTTGTTGCAAGCGGTTGGGTTTCATTTTTTTATAGACGAGAAAAACATTTTATTTATCCTTTCACCTGTTGATGGGCACCTGGGTAGGTTCCTTCTCTTAGCTATTGTGAATTGCACTACTATAAACATGGGATTGCAGGATAGTGTAGCAGCTGAAGTCCTCACCTTGCAAGTGTAAGGATCCCCATGGTTCTGGCAGCCCCGCCTCCCATCCAGCTCCCTGCTTGTGGCCTGGGAAAGCAGTCGAGGATGGCCCAAAGCCTTGGGACCCTGCACCAACACAAGAGACCCGGAAGAGGATCCTGGCTCCAGGCTTCAGATTGGTACAACTCTGGCTGTTGTGGCCACTTGGGGTTAATTAGTGGACGGAAGATCTTTTTCTCTGTCACTCCTCCTCTCTGTATATCTGCTTTTCCAATGAAAAATAAATCTTTTAAAAAAATAAGCATGGGATTGCAGGTCCCTCATGCAGATTTCATTTCCTTTTGCTAGATTTGCAGAAGTGGGATTGCTGGGTCATATGGTAAATCTATTTTCTGAGGATTATTTGAGGACTCTCCCTGCCATCTTCCATAGTGGCTGTACTAGTTGACATGCCTGCCCACTGAGGATTGGGGTGCCCCCAGTCTTAGATTGTCACCAGCAATTACTGTTTGTTGAACTCTGTACGTAGGCCATTCTCACTGGAGTTAGGTGGAGCCTCATTGTGGTTTTTATTTACATCGTCCTCATTGCCCGAGAACCTAAGCTTTTTTTTCTTTTTTATGTGTTATTAGCTCTTTGAATTCTATCTTTTGAAAAATACCTGTTCATGTCCTCTGCCTGTGTCTTAACTCGGCTGTTTATTTTGCCCTTGTTGAGTTTCTGGAGTTCTTTGTAAATCCTGGATATTAGTCCTCTGTCTGTGTTGTATTTGTTTTCAATATTTTCTCCCATTCTACTCTTCGTCTCTTCACGTTACTGAGCATTTCCCTGGCAATACAGAAGCTTCTTAGCTTGACATAACCCCGTTTGTTGTTGGTTTAATTGCCTGTGCTTTTAGGGTTTTTCCTAAGAAGAATTTGCCTGCACCTATGTCTTCCAGAGTGTTCCATCAGTAGTTTGATGTTAGATCAAACCTTGATCTGTTTAGAGTTGATTTTCTTTATAAGGTGGAAGGCAGGGGTCTTGCTTCTTACCCAGCACCACTTGTGTTGTTGTTGTTTTTTTTTTTTAATTGGAAAGGCAGATATACAGAGAGGAGAGACAGAGAGGAAGATCTTCTGTCCGATGATTCACTCTCCAAGTGAGCGCAACGGCCGATGCTATGCTGATCCGAAGCCAGGAGCCTCTTCCGGGTCTCCCACGCGGGTGCAGGGTCCCAAGGCTTTGGGCCGTCCTTGACTGCTTTCCTGGGCCACAGGCAGGGAGCTGGAAGGGAAGTGGAGCATCCAGGATATGAACTGGTGTTCATATGGGATCCTGACACGTGCAAGGAGGAGACCTTAGCGACTAAGCTGCCTCGCTGGTCCCCAAACGGGTTAAATTTTAAGGTTAATTTTTTTCCTGATGTGTTGGGAGGGAATCTCAAAGTAACATTTAGACTACTGATGAGAAATATAGTGGAAAATAATTTTTGGTCTTCCATCCACTGGTTCATTCCCCAGATGGCCGTAACAACCGGAGCTGAGCTGATCCAAAGCCAGGAGCCAGAATCTTCTCTCATGTGGGTGCAGGTCCCAAGGACTTAAGCCTGGCCACAAACAGGGAGTTTATGGAGATGGAATAGCTGGGACATGAACCAGCACCCATATGGGTTGCTGGTGCCCTAGTGGGAGGATTAGCCTGCTGCACTACTGCACAGCACCCCCTCCCGGCTCTCCCACCAAGCTTATGGCTTTTAAAAAATGCTTAGAAGAGTCTTGTTTCTCTTCATGTAGGTTTAAATGTATTGTTTTTCTTCCCTCTCCTCCATTTGCTTATTTCCATATTTGGCTTTTTAGTGGTATGGCTTCATTTGGTATCTGAATTAGTTTTCCTATAAAGTGTTTAACATACTTGTCTCTGTAACAGGAATCTTACCCCTCTTCTTCACCAATATGGTTTGTGGATTCCGATGACCCAAATCTGACCTCAGTTCTGGAGCGTCTAGAAGATTCTAAGAACAACAGTTCGGTGAGAAAATGAACCCAGCTACTTTTTTCTTTTTTCCTTTTTTTTTTTTTTTCCTGTATATGTTACTTGTATAGAATTAAGAGACATTGAATAAAAGCATGATCATAATTATTACTTGATAATCCTAGAGGAATTAAAGAATGGGGCTGTCGCTGTTGTTCTAGTCACTACTCAGTTTCTTTTGCTTCTTATAGGTATTCATTTGTATTAGGAATTTGGAAAATTTTGTCCCTACATTCTAATCATTAAACCTATAAACCACTCGGCCAGGAAGGAAGTGGGAAACCAGCATGTATGCGATGGGTCTGTAAGTCTGCAGTCAGAGCCCAAGGTATTCAAACAGCACGTTCTGCCCTTTTTCTTAATAGGCACTAGTCTCCCCTTCTCCTTAGAGTTTGGTCAAGGCCCCCCAGGGGATGCCCGACTGATGACATGAGTAATACCAAACACCACACAGACTATGTGTGTGTGTGTATTTACACACGTGCATCTGAGATTTAATTTACAGATCAGCAGCAGCAACTACTAATAAAATAGACTAGTGATATGCTACAGTGGAATTTATTGATCAGGAATTGCAGGCATAATTTTTCATTTGATATTTTTAAACCTTGAGTTTAAGGTTTGACCATGAGTAACTGAAGCTATGAAAAGCAAATCTGCCTCAGACATCGTTGAGTGACAGTCTCTCTCTCTCTTTCTCTCTCTCCACCTTCTGCTGCTGTTGTAGTTGGACAGCAGGAAGTGGCCCTCTCCGTTCCCTGCTGGGTGCACAGGAGTGACAAAAAAAAAATTTTGTTTTGAAGCATTTTGAACTCTGCCTTCCTGCACACCTTGCTTGGCCTTCCTTAAATCAATCCGAGACCCACCTACCTCTCAACTATGTAATCAGTAGTTACAAAAAGGAAAACAAAACTGCAGAAAGAAATGTTCCACTTTTCAGGAATTTTCATATCCCTAATTTTTTTGTGTATTAGACTTGTGTCCATTATGAAATAACTAGTGAAATATAGAAAAGCAAAAAGGAAAATTAGCGTTTCCCATACATTCTTAACACAAATACTATTGGCAGAATAGATTTTTCTACCATTTTTTTTCTTTGCTAGTAATATCATACACCCTCAGAAATAAGCTTAAATAGTTGAGGTCATATGTTCTGTGAAGTCTTACAGTCTTGTAAACATGATCTTGTTATATTTTCCCATGCTTTCATAAAATCCTTTTAGAAAAACAAGTGATTTGCAGTGACATGACTTTTTATTATTTTTGTAAAGATTTATTTTTATTGGAAAGTCAGATATACAGAGAGGAGGAGAGACAGAAAGGAAGATCTTCCATCTGTTGATTCATACCTCAAGTGGCCGCAACGGCTGGAGCTGAGCTGATCCAAAGCCAGGAGCCAGGAGCCTCTTCCGGGTCTCCCATGTGGGTGCACTCCCAAGGCTTTGGGCCGTCCTTGACTGCTTTCCCAGGCCACAAGCAGGGAGCTGGATAGGAAGCGGGGCCACCAGGATTAGAATCGGCACCCATATGGGATCACAGCGCTTGCAAGGCAAGGACTTTAGCCACTAGGCTACCGCGTGGAGCCGGTGACATGATTGTTTTGTATATATATAAAAAAAAAGTCTAGGGCCCAGCGCGGTGGCGCAAGTGGTTAAGGTCCTCGCCTTGCACGCCCGGGATCCCATATGGGCGCCGGTTCTAATCCCGGCAGCCCTGCTTCCCTTCCAGCTCCCTGCCTGTGGCCCCGGGAAAGCAGTCGAGGACAGCCCAAAGCTTTGGGACCCTGCACCTGTGTGGGAGACCCGGAAGAGGCTCCTGGCTTCGAATCGGCATAGCATCGGCCCGTTGCGCTCACTTGGGGAGTGAATCATCGGACGGAGGATCTTCCTCTCTGTCTCTCTTCTCTGTATATCTGCTTTTCCAATAAAAAGATAATAAAAATAAATCTTTAAAAAAAAAAAGTCTAAAGGAACCAACAGAAAAATGTTTTTAAGATGGTCAGTTAAAATTTCTATTCTATGAAAATCAGTAAGATTCCCAAATTTTAGCTATAATCAAATAGAAATTATAGCAGCAAAATATATTAAACTATTACACAAAAATTAAATAGTAATACATTTCAGTGTGCAGGACTTATATTGAGGAAACTGTACAATTTTGCTGAGTGCAATAAAAGACTTGGTTGCCAAAAATTAAATAGGAATGAACTTTGATGCTCAGGATTTGTATCAAGGGAACTGCAGGATTTCACTGAGTAGAAATAAATAGGTGGATGTCATTTTGGCATATAGATCAATTGTTTTCATACTTTCATGCTAACCTATAAATCTCATGTAATTTTAGTAGGAATATCAACAGGTTGATTTGGGGGAGTTAACTAAATAACTGAAGAATAGGTGACAGTGATGGTTGAGCTGTAGGTTTAAGATGCCTGCATGCCACCTCCTGTTGGAGCGCTTGGGTATGAACCCTGGCTTGGTACCCAGTAGATGGGTTGGCAGCAGATGTTTCTGAATACTCAGGTCTGTGCCACCCACATGGGAGAGACCTGGGTTGTGTTCCTGGTTCCTGCCCTTGCTGTCGCCAGTGGGTGGCTGATCTGTCTCTTTCACATAAAAGGAAAATAAAAATTTGGGCCCGGCGCGGTGGCGCAAGTGGTTAAGGTCCTCACCTTGCACGCCTGGGATCCCATATGGGCGCCGGTTCTATCCCGGCAGCCCCACTTCCCATCCAGCTCCCTGTGGCCCAGGAAAGCAGTCAAGGACAGCCCAAAGCTTTGGGACCCTGCACCTGCATGGGAGACCCGGAAGAGGCTCCTGGCTTCAGATCAGCATAGCATCGGCTGTTGCACTCACTTGGGGAGTGAATCATCGGATGGAAGATCTTCCTCTCTGTCTCTCCTCTCTGTATATCCACCTTTCCAGTAAAAAACATAATAAAAAATAAATCTTAAAAAAAAAAGTTCTTCTAAAAAAAAAAAGAAAAAAAGAAAATAAAAAAATTAAAATTAGTTAATAGTAAGAGGTATCCAATCAGATAGTAACTAAAATAGTGTACTGGCACTGGACCTGACAGAAAGACATTAGAAATTCAGAAGCAGAGTCATGCAAATGAGAATTTAGAATTGGGAGTTTTGTTTAATGGCTAAGGGAACAGTAAATTATTCTGTGGATTCTTTGGAGAGCCCTAGCCAGTTGTGGGAAGTTCAGGTCTTAACTCATTTTTTTTTCTTCAGAATAAGTTTTAGGTAGTTAAAACGTCTGTTCTTATAATGAAGGACAGTGAGGCACCATCTTAAAGACCTTTTCAGTGGCCATGCTGGTGTGGAGACCCACGAAAGTAAGAGGTTGGGAAGGAGTGGTTGGCCTAAGCTGTTACTGCTCCTCCTTTCAGGAGGTTGTACTTGAAGATCTAAAGGTATCAGTGTGAAGAGAATTCTTTTTTTTCTAAAGGATTTATTTATCTTTATTGGAAAGGCAGATTTATGGAGAAAAGGAGAGACAGAAAGATCTTCTGTTTGCTGGTTCACACCCCAAACGACTGTGATGGCTGGAACTAAGCCTACTTCAGGGTCTCCCACGTGGGTGCAGGGTCCCAAGTTCACAAGCAGGGAGTTGGAAGAGAAATGGAGCAGCCAGGACACAAACTGGCATCCATATGGGATTCCAGCACTTAAAGGTGGAAGATTAGCTAATTGAGCCATCATGTCAGACCCTGGAATTATTTTTACTTTTATCTTTTAAAAACTTATTTTTATTGGAAAGGAATATTATACAGAGAGAAAGAGACAGAGAAGGATCTTACATCCACTGATTCACTCCCCAAGTGGCCACAAGGGGTGGAGCTGAGCTGTTCCAAAGCCAGGAGCCAAGAGTTTCTTCTGGGTCTCCCACCAAGGACTTGGGTCATCCTTCACTGCTTTGCCAGGCCATAAGCAGGGAGCTAGATGGGAAGTGGAACAGCTGGGCAGGAACCGGCACCCATATGAGTTGGTGTCACATGAAGGTGGAGGGTTAGCTCTGGCCTCCAGGGCCTAGAATTGTTTTTCGATCTCTAAAATACTCCATCAGAAATTAAACTGGTCCTGGTTTTAGGGTGGGGAGGGATTTACATGAAAAAATTGCAATGTCCACTCTTACAGACTTTGTCATTGAGTAAGTTGTATTTTTATTTGAAAGAATTAAGAGAGAAAAAGGAGACAGGTAGATCTTCTATCCATTGGTTTGCTCTCCAAATGGCCTCGGTGGCTGGATTTGAGCCAATCTGAAGCCAGGAGTTTCTTCCGAGACTCTTCATGCGGGCGCAAGGGTCCAAGGACTGGAGCCATGCTCTCTGCTGCTTTTCCAGACCACAAGCAGGGAGCTGGAAGGGAAACGGAGTGGACAGGACATGAACTGATGCCCATAGGGGATCCCAGTGCTGTAGCTGGAAGCTTAGCTACTCAGCCGACTGCCAGCCCCAGTTTGTTTCTATTTAGATATTTATTGATTTGGAAGGCAGAGTGACAGAAAGAAAGGGAGACGACAGAGACCATCCATCTGCTGCCAGGTCTAGCCCATACTGAAGCTCATCCTGGGCTCGCTAAGATCCTTGGGATCCAGGGACTCGGCCTGTCTTCCCAGGCCTTCCCAGGCACATCGGCAGGAAGCTGGATGAGCGCTCCAGTCCGGGATGCTGGTGTTAGAACCAGAGCTTCAGTCCCCACTGGTGCCCTCCCCCAGTTTCCTGCAGCTTCACTTTCCACTCACTTAGCTCATTGTAATCTGGAGTCTGTATTCATTGTTGGGCTAAAACCTATTTGTTGTCAGTGGCTCCTTTTTAGTCCTCCATTGAGTCCCTGTAGTATTATGATACTGCTAACTGTTCCCTTGTTGAAATATTCAGCAAATGTTTATCACATAATGTCTACCCATAAAGAATTGCTTAAATAAAAATAGTACAGTTTCGCCATAGAATATTGCATTATAGTTAGAAAAATATAACCAATTTCCTGTTAAGAGCATAAAGTTCTAATAGGTACTATGTGAAAAAGGAAGGGGTGAACTATTTTATATAATGTAGCCTTTTTTGTCCCCAGTATTGTAGGGAAACATCTGTCCATATCTGTATTGGTTTATACATTCACCCAAACCCACGTGGTTAGATACAAGAAACTATTAATAGAACACAGATAAATTTTTTTTGTACAGATTGGCTCGTTTGCCTAACTCTGCGATCAGTGGTGGGTGTGAAAGACAAGGCCTGTTTTTGTCCTGGGAACTGGCCATCTCAGACCACTGCCTCTGCTTCGCTTCCTTGCTACCCCGTCTCCGGAGCTTCTGTTCCTTGATTTGCTTCAAGTCCTCTTGTTCTATACTTTCTGTTCCCTTCCTGGAGTGATGCCCTGTATTCCAGGGATGACTAACTAAATGTACAATTCACTAGAAATTATTCCCAGAATTTCAGACTCGGGTATCATAACATGTTCAGGGGATCTCACGTAGGTTAATGATCCTCTTCTGCCTCCTAACCCGCCACCACCCCATCCTGTTTTCCAGTAATCCTCTGATTTTCAGTGGACAAAGTGCAGTAAGCCAGTCACCCATGTCTGAACCTGCCTCCTGCCCCCTCGCTAGGTAGTGAAAGGCTCAGACCACTCCACCAAGCCTTCTGAGGATTTCTTAGTTCCACACATTGACTGTTTCTCTCCCCATCCTTCCTACACTTGTATAGAGGGCGTAAAATTGGAATTCCTGGAAGGTGCTTCTCCCTGGTGTGCTTGCTGCCTGGTGGGAGCCCACCCCACTGCTGTCTCATAGCGCACCTGCAGCCCCCACTGGGCCAGAGTGTGTCAGCCACTGCCCTTCATCTCCACCCTGTACCTCGCACAGGAGAGAGCCCATTGGCCAGATAACTGATCCACGGTAGGGCTTCTCTTCCTTTTAAGCAGAAGGGTTTTAGTTTGGTCCTAATTGTTCTGCTGTCCTGATTTCCACTTGTCCTTTGCTCTGTTTAACCCGTTCTATTCCTCTGTCTGCTTGCTTAGTTTTTATTAAACTGGCTGTGTTTTCATCATCTCTTTTCTTGGTCAGAGACACCAGAAAACATCCCTGATCAGGTGAAGTTTACCTGCCTTATGCACCTCTCATTTCATGAGTTGTTTGTCATTGTTCTTACACTGTGACTACTCAAATTATACATTGGAAAAAAAAATATGGCAAACTATAAAACACATGCTTGCACATGCAGTTTACGTTGCCTGCGTGGTTAAATGTGCCTAGGAAAGAATCTGGATTTTAAAAATGAAAACTGGAAGGATGCCTTGCTTTGGATAGACACGTGAAGTCCTGCCGTGCACCAAGTGTTTTCACAGAAGCGCTCATTGAACAGTCGCCACCCTGAGAATGTTTTAATTTCTTTGTTATACAGATAGGGAAACTCAGGCTCAGGGACAGACTCTGTATCTAATCTCCTTTAGACCGTGTTTGCAACTGTGCTTACAAATGCACGTGACTGTGGCCTACTTTCAGAATCTGTACAGTAGTGGTTTTCATGGCCTTATTAATACTTTACTCTGAGGTCGTAGGTTTCCAGAAAACTAGAAGTTGGAGGACAGTGTTTGGAACTCTTCTCCCTTGCCTTTTTGTTGATGCAGTTATACCAGGTGTCAGTTGGAGGGATTTTTACCTCTCAGCCCTAGTAGTCAACTTTTTCCCATAGTAGCTTTCTTACCCTAGCAGCCCCTAAAAATATTTTAGACTATCCAGAGACTGCAGCTGGGCAGTTCCACAAACTTTCTCATTTTGTTTCTGGACTGATTACAGTAGATGTAGCATGATTCATGTCTTCTAAGGGCTCCTTAACATAATGCTTGTTTACCGAAATGTGTTTTGTAGCTTCGTCAGCAATTGAAGTGGTTGATATGTGAACTCTGCAGATTATATAACCTTCCTAAGCACCTGGACGTTGAGACGCTAGATCAACCACTACCCACGGGTCAGGTAAAGTAAACCTCCTCGGGGGGGTTCAAGTGCTGAATTGTCTCCAGCCAAAGTAAAAACTGCGATTTTTTTTTGGTTTTGTTTTGCCCTTTAAGTATTATTATACAACTTATTTAGAAATTTGTTTCCACGTTCCTGTTGAATGGCTGTGTTTCTTTTGCGTTGGTCCTGAAAGTGACCTTTTCATTCCTTGGAGCTGATGGTACTTCCAGCCACCCCCAATCCCTGCCTCCCGCCGTCTGTATGGTCCTTGTCGCTGTGAATATTCCTGGTGCCCACGAATGTTCCTTTCTTCTTTGTTATCTCTGTGTTCCGAGGAAAGGTAACTAAGCCATTCCCTGAGGTCCATCTGTGCCTCTGAAGGCCTAACCCAGGTATCACCACCTTCTCCTCCGCAGAGGAGCCCACCGCCACCCCAGACTGGCCTCAGGGTCCATCAGCTATTGCCTGTTACTCTAATCAGTGGGGCTCTCTTGTGCTGCCTGTGCTTACCTGCTCACCTCTGCTTCCTGAATCATTGAATCTAGTTACATGTATGCCGTGAGGACTGTTCAGTGGATAGCCACATTTTTGTTATGAACATTCTTTCCTTGCACACGTTTTTTTTGCAGTATCCCCGTATGATAGGAGTTGTTTTGGAAAGTTCAGTTCTGGCCTTTCTGCCAGTCTGCCTCTCTTCCGAACCCTTTGGCTCTTGGGAACCAACTGTGGCACTTTGTCCTCTGGACTGGCTGTGCACCAGCATCTTATGTTTTTGCTGGCTTGCCTTTGAGTGGATACATTATTTCCTGCATCTCTTGTCTCTTTCTTGGCTTATCTTTTCTCCCTTTACCTGAGTACATTCTCAAGTAAAACACTAAGAGAGCAGGAAGGAGTGGCACGTTTTCTGATTGTCAGCTTTTGAAAAAAAATAATAATAATGGTCCAGGATTTGGGTTTTTGAACCAGATTGCCTTGGATTGGAATCTTGGTTCTGCTGCTTAGTGGCCATACATGTCCTTGGGCCAATAATCTAATCATGTGACAATATTTTACCAATGAGAAATGGAGGAAGTAGTAGTTGACTGTTTTGCGTGGAGCTTTGAAGATTTAAATCAACTTAGCATGGCACCTGGTGCATAAGTCCCCTGTAAAATTGGCTGCTATTGTGTTCTGTTCCCACACTTGATGGGTGACTTGGTTGACTGTGTGATTCTAGGTCGCAGACATTCTACCTGCAGAATTTCGAGCACTGAGTTGTTGAGTGTTGGTGAGTGGGGCTGCTGAGAGAGTGGCACCACTGCGTGGTCCTCATTTCTGTGTGACGTTTTCCCCGAGACGGTGGGGCTACTCTTCCATGGTGTTCTGAAATCTCACTGTGACTGGTTTAGTTGGGGGGGTCTTTTCTCCATTTATGATGTCAGGTGCTCAGCATCGGTAGGACTTGCACATTTGGAATATTAAATCTCACGGTTTGTCTGTTGATTCCTCCTTTCAGAATGCCTGCTGCTTACATGTTAGACATCTTGGTTTGAATCCCTTTATCTTCTGCGTTTTCACTATGTTCTCTTTACAATTTTTATATTTTAGTATATATTTCTGATATTTCAAATTCTGAACTTTTTTTTAAAGATTTATTTTATTATTTTTTTATTGGAAAGGCGGATATACAGAGAGGAGAGACAGAGAGGAAGATCTTCCGTCCGATGATTCACTCCCCAAGTGAGTGCAACGGCTGATGCTATGAGTGCAACGGCTGATGCTATGCCGATCCGCCTCTTCCGGGTCTCCCACACGGGCACAGGGTCCCAAAGCCTTGGGCCGTCCTCGACTGCCTTCCCAGGCCACAGGCAGGGAGCTGGAACGGAAGTGGAACTGCCAGGATTAGAACCGGCGCCCATATGGGATCCCGGGCGTGCAAGGCGAGGACCCCAACCACTGCGCCACCGCGCCGGGCGCATCAAATTCTGAACTTGACGGAGTACTGCAGTTTCCTTTATCCCAGGATTGTTATGGGCTAACTAACTGTGACTAGACAGTTCTTTGGCTGGTCTCATCTGGGGACTCTGTGGTCCCTGGTCGGTCTGTGGTCTGGACAAAGGACAATATTGGATTGTTGGGCCTTTAGCAATGGCTCAGTGGCTAAATCCTTCCCTCGCATGTGCTAGGATCCCATATGAGCACCAGTTAGTGTCCTGGCTGCTCCACTTCCCATCCAGCTCCCTGCTTGCAGCCTAGGAAAGCAGTAGAGAACAGGCCAAAGCCTTGGGATCCTGCACCCACAAGGGAGACCTGGAAGAGGCTCCTGGCTCCTGGCTTTGGATTGGCTCAGCTGTAGCTGTTGTGGCCATTTAGGGAGTGAACCAGAAGGTGGAAGATGCTTCTGTCTCTTCTCTTGGTAAATCTGGTCTGCCTTTCCAATAAAAAACAAGTGAATCTTTTTTTTTTTTTAAAGCAAAACATTGGAATGTCACTCATGTTTTTCTGCCTGCATGGTGTCTCTCCTCAAGAGCCTCTGCACGTGGCTTCTTTCTCTTAGGAGGATACTTAGAATTCATGATGTTTTGGCTTCCAAAAGAGGACAAAAGGTTGAGTTGCCAAGCATTTTTAAAGGTTTAGACTTGGAGAAAATCCAATGTAATTTTTTTTCTTTCTTTTTTTTTTTTGGCCAGGTTTATTTATTTGCATGATAATGTTAGAGTGGAGAGACGGTTACAATGGCTAGGGCTGGGCCAGGAGCTTCTTCCAGGTCCGAAGCACGTGGGTCATCCTCCGTTGCTTTCCTAGGTGCATTAGCTAAATTGGGAATGGAGCAACTGGTGCTTGAACTGGTGTCCACATGGGATGCCGGTGCTGCAGAAAAAGCAGTTTCACCCTGCTTTTTTTTTTTTTCTTTAAGATTTATTTATTTTAAAGGCAGAGTTAAGGAGAGTAGGGAGAGATGTTAAGGAAGCCAGTGTAATTTCTAATATGGTCTATCAGATAAAACAAATCACAGGGCTGGCCAAGATTCCCTATGGGTTAGTACCATACAAGGACAAGAGGTGTGGTTTGTTATTTGTTTTCAAAGGTGAGCCATTTGTTTTAAGAGCTTACTCTCTGTTAGTTCTGATTTATAACATTTCGGTTTTGTTTTATAGGTACACTATATTACTAAGAGACTTTAAGGAGTTATTTTGATATACTTTGACTTTTTACATCTTAGCATTTGTATGTTTAATAGTTTCTGTAGTTTAAATTTTTTTAAGATTTATTTTTAGTGCAGAGACAGAGTTAGGAGAGAGAGAAAAAAAAGTCTTCCATTTGCTGGTTTACTCCGAAACAGCCACAATGGCTGGACTTGCACCTCTCTGAAGCCAGGAGCCAAGAACTTCCAGTTCTCCCACATGGATGCAGGGCCCAAGACCGTGGGGCCATCCTGCACTGTCTTTCCAGGTACATTAGCAGGGAACTGGATGGGAAGCAGCACAGTCAGAGCTCAGACTGGCACCCACATGGCAGGCAAGCACCACATGCAGACACATAGGTTGCTATGCTGCCATGCTGGCCTTTAGTTTACCTTTTTAAAAGACTTTCCTCCCCTCTCCCCTCTCAGTTCTGGTGTTAGGCACAGTGAGTTAAACTGCCAGTTGCCATGCTGGCATTTGAGTCCCAGCTGCCCTTCAATACCGTGTCAGATGCCACCCTTGGGATTTTTTTCAATGAATATCTAAGGGTATGCATATTGAGTGCTGCTTGACCTTGTGGCACAAGTTGTAAAATTTAGCATATTTTCTAGATAGCTTTTTTTTCCTAAGTAGTTTCATGCCATCTTTTATTCCTCTTACCTATCCTTTTCAGACTGAGATATAATGTGATTTAAAATCATATTAAACCAAATTTAGTGTGACATAGTTAGTGAATGAGAATCGCCATGTAGCTGCCACTCAGGACAGAGGGCAGGAGAGAACCTTGCTAACCCTACAGAAACTGTGTCGGCTCTTTCCATTATGCTCTTGGCTGCAAATCTTTCCAATTTTGTCTCTCAATGTATGCATCATTAAGCAACTCAGTTCAGTTGTTTCATATTAGAAGTATCTTTATTTTTTTTAAAGATTTATTTATTTTTATTGGAAAGGCAGATTTACGGAGAGAAGATCTTCCATCCACTGGTTCACTCCCCAAGTAGTCACAATGGCTAGAGTTGAGCCAATCCGAAGCCAGGAGCCAGGAGCTTGTTCTGGGTCTCCCATGTGGGTGCAGGGTCCCAAGGCTTTGGACCGTCCTCTACTGCTTTCCCAGGCCACAGGCAGGGAGCTGGATGGGAAGTGGAGCAGCCGTGGTACAAACCAGTGCCCATATGGGATCCCAGTGTGTGCAAGGCAAAGACTTTAGGTATTAGGCTACTGCACCAGTTCCTAAAAACATCTTTATTTATTTCTTTCACTCATTGTACGTAATTGGTTGATTGTATGTATCTATTTCTTTTTCATTGCTGTATTTATTACACATTTGAATATAACATTTGATTATTAATGGTTTTAGTTGTATCTAATTTTTTGTATATAAGGACCAGTGGAAGGTGCTGACATGGTAGCTCATGTAGGCTAATAATCCTCTATTTACGAGTGCTGGCATCCCATATGGGCACCAGATGAGTGCTGGTTGTTCCACTTCCATTCCAGCTGTCTGCTTATGGGCTGAGACTGCGGTAGAGGATGACTCCACTCCTTGGGCCCAGGCACCCCTGTGGGAGACCTGGAAGAAGCTCATGGCTTTGGATTGGCTCAATTCCAGCTTTTGGGAGCGAACTAGCAGATATAAGATCTTTCTGTCTGTTCTTCTGTCCATTTGCCTTTTCAATTAAAAATACCTCGATGTATTTTTAAAGGAACAGTGTTGTTGTGATCGTTTATTTCATGGTCCCTCTCCAGACCTTTCTCAGGGTGCACACTTAGGAGAGCTGAGTTACAGGAGCGTGAGGCTCAGTTTCTTCTTCAGCCTGAGCATTGTCAGGAAGAACATCTTCCTGGTGACTTTCAGGTGATTTTTGATTTGTCCGTATTGTCATGACGTTTAGCCAGTAACGACAGGGCCTGTGGCCTCCAGGTTGTGCTCTCAGCAACTGCTTAGACTTCACCACTGATGTCAAGTTGTCTTTGTTGCTGTTTCTTACATGTGCCATACACCGACACCCCTCCACGTATATTCCTCATCAATGGTGTCTTGTGTTACTGTTTTTTTAGAAAGGGTTTGTTGGGTATGGAGAGTATTGCTTGAATACTTGCTGTCTTTTTCATTGTTTAATCTGACCCTGTGTGGATGTAATGCATCCAGTGGTGACCCGACAGACACATATCTGGTCCCTGTCTTGATGGGGTAAAGGGAAAGTTCATAATTGAGTCTCTTCCCATTTGTTTATGCACTATGTTCTGGCATCTGTTGTTAAAGCTGTGAAGTGTGATGCTTGCCTGATTCTCCTGTTTGATTTTGTAATTCTGGAAGGTGTATGGTTTTCTCTTTAATGATGAAGTGTGGGTTTTACTTTCCAGTGATCTTTTGGGGGCATTCAGTTCCACTTAATATTCTGAAGAATGGTGTGTCGTTTGACCTAGTGGTTCATGCTGTGCTTCGTGTCTGAGAGTCCTGGGTCTGCACTTGATCCCACCTTCCTGCGAATGTGCACCTTGGGATCAGTGTGTGATTGCTCCTTTGGTTGGGGACTTGGGGCTCCTGGCTTCTTGGCCAGCTCAGCCCCAGGTGTTGTGGACATTCAGGGACTAGCCTAAAGTAAAGGATGGCTCTCTCTCTTTCTCTCTCTGGTTCTTAAAGGCACAAAGTCTTTAGCTCAGCAACATTTGATTCTGTTATCTGTTTGAATTTTTTTTCCCCATCAATCCTCTGGATGGATATGCCTGTAATTCCATCTTCTATTTCCCTTAACTGTTCTTATTTCCATCTCTTGGAAGGGAATGTCACAAGTTACAGGTGCCTTGTCTGCTCAAGTCCCTTGTACTGCTAGCTCTTCTCCCCCTTCTACCTGACTACTCCCTATCTCCCTCTCTCCTTCCCTTTTCCAGAGCTCTCTTGTCCTTTGCATAGTAATCTTGCTACATAGCATTTTCTCAATTATTGCTAAAGATCCAATCAAATAAACGCTTTATTCTCTTGGTTTTCTTTGATGATAATGCTTGCTGTCACTCGCTTGAACTGCCCGTGTGACCTGAGGCCTGCCTTTGAGCTTCTTGGTTTTGACTGTCTGGTGACACTTGATATTCTCTTCCTACACAGAGGGTGAATCATTGCTTGTCTTACATGTGGCTGTGGATGTCCTTGGAGCTGTCACTCTTGTCTGCTGTGGCCTCTCGCCTCCTGGGTTACCCACCTGTGCACTTCCTGCTGCAAAAGGATGAGGAGGTGCCAGCAGGTGGGCTTTCCAACTCCTGAATGAAAGGAAAAGGTGGTCTTCTAGGAGATCTATTTTCCTGACTTAACCTTAAATTGAAACATTCTCTGTTTTCTTTCTGGTTCTGGCACTCATAGGAAGAGATCAGAATAGCATTTGGATCCCGTCCAGCTGCAGTGAGGACAAGAATAAAAGAATTTGCGGTTCCTTTGGAGTGAAGAATGCTCGGCCTGGCTGTGTCTGGGGTCCCCTCTGTTATCTGTATTGCTGTGGCTTTTTCTGAGGCTAACAGTCTGGTTTCATCTGCCCCCTAACATAAGCCTGTAACATAGACCCTCTAGCTTTCATTTGCACAGGAGACCCTTCTTGTGTATGTTGTTTTTCTGTTGCTACTGTCTATTTAGTGAGGTTTTGCTAAAAAAAAAACCTAACCATGTCTTGAATTGAAATTTATCTTGGGCTTTCACAACTCTTAACTGGCTTTGTGTTTTGGTTAAATTAATTATTATCCTTTTGAGGGGGTGAGGGATGGACTCGACTTTCTTTGCAAAATGACAGAAACTGTGTTGATGGTTGCAGGTCTGGCTGCATGTCAGAATCACCTCAAGTAGCTTTTTTGAAAATAGCTTCCTTGGGGAATGCATTGAAATCAGCCTTTCAAAGGGCCTGTTAGTCACCGATGCACTTAAACGGCTAGGTATGTTCCTTAGGTGCTAAAAATCGTTTTTGGAATATGTATTTAGGGAAATGGAGACGGGGTGAATCACAGAATTTTGGGAGCTGCTGTTTTCTTCCAAGAGACGAATAATAGATGTTGAAAGATTTAAACCTACCGTGTGTGTCGTACCTGGATGCATGTCCCCATGCAGGATCCCCCAGCTCAGTAATCCCTCTGAAGGGCAGGCCTTTGTGCCAGCAGAGTGACTGAGAACAGGTGCCAACCTGGTGCTGAGACCTTCGTCACTCAGATTTGACCTCTGGACTCCAGTTTACTGTTGTAGGGAGCCTGGGTCCTCCCCGAAGGCTCCTGCAGTGGTGCCTCTGCCTGCTGTGTCCTGGAGCCTTACGCTCTGGCCCAGGGAGCTTCACCTTTGCACTCTGCCCAAGGTTGCCTTCACCTCCGATTCATTGTGAGTGGGTGGGAAATTGTGTCCTGTTAATATTTGTAGAAAGGCAACTGGTGATCATTCTTGTAACTTTTTAAAAAATTTTTGTGATGCATCTTCCTTTGTAGCCTGTAATATCTTTTAAAATGCAAGGCGATTGAGTTTACATGAAGTCAGGTTTTTCTGGAGTTTAAAAAGATGGGTATTTTAAGGATCAGTAGTTTGGGATATTTGTTTTAAATGAAAGAAGCTCTTGCCCTTAAATACATAGCCATTTTTCTTAGGATAAGATGTATTCTTATTTTAAATCCGATTGTAAAACTGTCACCTTTGCCTTTTGGCTGGTTGACTTTGTTTATTTCTAAGGCACCTTAATGTGAGTATATTAAATGCATATGTGTTCCTATATCGTACACATATATAACACATGTATACATGTCTTATTTCAGTATGTATCTGTTGTTATAGACTGCATTTATAAAGATGTCACTTTTACCAGACTGTCAAATATGTTTTAGATTCAGTAAGCTCTCCTTTAGTGGAAGTGCAGTGATGGTCCCCAAAGCTGCTTTGCCACACTGATGGAATCAGTGTGTGTGTGGTTTTTTTCCCTGTGTGGTCCTGGACAATCCTTTCTGTGTTTCAGAATGGGGCAACAGAGGAAGTTACTTCGGAAGAGGAGGAGGAGGAAGAGATGGCCGAAGTAGGTATTTTATGTAAGAATACCATTTATAAATATCTCCTCCTCTCTCTCTCTCTCTGTGTCTCTCTTTTTTTACATTTTAATAAGTCTCTAACTTCTTTTCGAAAGTAGTGCAGTGAGTCTGGGTATAAGGTGGTCAGTAACCTGGTCTGCTCTAGAAATCACAATTAGTCAGCTTGCACACTAATGGAGAGAATAAGTACCAACTGTTCCTCTAGAGATTGTTGGCAATTGAAAGAGAAGTAAGATACTTGGAGAATAATTTGAAAATTCTGCCAGGATTATGTCGCGCCCACGTGTCTTACCGCCCAGCAGTAAGAGGCAGACGCGAGTGAAGCCTTCTGCGGTAAAGTTTATTGCGCGCACAAAGATGAGGAAGAGGAAGGGGGCCCCAACCCCGGCAGGCTTTCTACTCTTATGTGCTGACCGGCCCCGCCTCCGCCGATGATAGGTCGGCGTCATGATCACGCAGGGTCCTGGGCGACCGGATTCGTCAGTCCCCATTGTTCACGTGCCGGCCACGCCGCAGCTCACTGCGCATGCGCTAGGCTACGTGACACGCACGAAGGTGTGGCTTCTCCGGCCAGCGCCATTTTAGGCACAGCATGTGGCCAGTGCATACAGATGCGGCTTGCAACAGGATTATGTATGTGTATGAAAAATGATAAGAATAAGGAGGGAAGAGAACAATGATGAAATTAAAGGTATTCAATCTTTTTAAAACCTTTTTTCTAATTATGAAAATTAGTTAATGCTTACTACAGAAAGCTTGGGAAATAGGGAAAAGCAATAAATGTCTCCAAAGATAGCAACCATGAACAGTTCACTCACTGTGAGTCTGTGTCTTTCCTTTTTCTTCTTATTTTTTTATGTAATTGAAATTCTACATTCTGTTTTCTTTATATATATATATATAATTTATTTATTTTTATTAGAAAGGTATTTATAGAGAGAAGAGGAGACACAGAGAGGAAGGTCTTCCATCCGTTGATTCACTGCCCAAGCAGCAGCAGGGGCTGGAACTGTGCCATTCCGGAGCCAGGAGCTTCTTTTGGGTGTCTCATGTGGTTGCAGGGTCCCAAGGCTTTGGGTCGTCCTCAACTGCTTTCCCAGGCCACAAGCAGGGAGCTGGTTGGGAAGCGGGACAGCTGGGAGTAGAGCCAGTGCCCATATGGGATCCTGGTGCATTTAAGACAAGGACTTTAGTTGCTAGGCTACCGCAATAGGCCCTATTTTTCATTTTATAGTCCTAGTTGACTCAGAAGGAATGACTGTGCCATATTGACATTTTAATGACTTCCTCATATTACAGTTTTACTGCTTTAACATATATGGATTTTGTGGGGGTTTTTTTTTCTGGTTATGTTAAAATGGCATTGGTGTGTCTAAACTTGTGCTCACATTTTAGGCTATTTTTTTTAAAGATTTTTATTGGGAAGGCATATTTACAGAGAGAACGAGAGAGAGAAAGATCCTCCATCCACTGGTTCAATCCCCAAGTGGCTGCAACGGCTGGAGCTGAGCCAATCCAAAGCTGGGAGCCTGGAGCTTCTTCCAGGTCTCCCATGCAGATGCAGGGTCCTAAAGTTTGGGCCATCTCCCACCGCTTTCCCAGGCCACAAGTAGGGAACTGGATAGGAAGTGGAGCAGCGCAGACATAAACTGGCATCCCTATGGGATCCAGTGGGTACAAGGCACGGAGTTTAGCCACTGCGTCATCTCACCAGACCTTAGGCCAGGTGTTTAGAAGAGACTTAAGACGGTCAAGTTCCTAGAATAGTGGTAAGCAGTTAAGATTGTTGATACCTCCTGCTGAACTATTTGACAAATTTCTCTTACTAGCATATTTAGAAGATGGATGATCTGGTAATAGTTGTGACGTTGCAAAGCTGTAAAATATACTTTCCTCAGAATCTAATTTTTAAGCAAAATGCAGGATATTAAAAGGATGTTGAAACCTTTTGACTTAAATGTGAAGACCTTTCCCCTCCTCATAGAATAGACATGCAGCCTCTTTTCTTGTCCCTGTTGGCTGAGGATAATCTTAGTTAGAGACTGCTGAAGGACACTGGTTTGAACAGGCTAACGTTTTTCTCTTTTCGTAGGATATGTTAGACTTAGACCACTATGACATGAAGGAAGAGGAGCCTATTAGTGGGAAACAGTCAGAGGACGAAGGAATAGAAAAGGAGAACTTGGAAATATTAGAGAAAATCAGGAAGACTCAGAGACAACACCATCTAAATGTAAGTGTAAATGTCCCTAGTCTGGACTTGGGTGGTTAAGGGCTTAGAGGGAACAGGCAGCAGTTCCCAGGGCTGCATCTCCGCCCGTGCGTGTGGTTGGCCTCGACCAACTTCTTCAGCTGCCGACAGCCACTCTCCACCTCACTCCTCTGCTCTTCTCATCAGAGCCAGCAGCCAGTGCCCGGGCATGCCCCCTTTCCAGCCCATAATGCTCCTGCCTACCTCTGCTGTGGGGGTCTGGGTATATGATTCAGTCTCCTGCCAAGTGCTGGTCAAATCGTTCCTCCTCTGCGAAGTTGATCTTTTGGTCTTGATTTGCCCTGACCAAACCAAAAGCAAGTTCTGCTTTGATTTCTAAAACTTCCTCTTTTTTTTTTTCCACAGCACAAATATATATATATATAATTTCTTCAGGTGATTTCCATTGCAAAAGACATAAACAACTGACACATTGTTTGCAGTTTTCCACCATCACAAACAACCCTGGAAATAATGTATCCAGGGTTCAAATGTCAGCATTTTCTCTGGCATTAATACGAAGAAGTGGAATTTGTGGGCTGCAAGTTGTGCATGTCTGAACTGGATGCTGTCGAGGCATCCAGGCACAGTCCACAGCCCTTCCCCCGCTTCCTCCGACCCCCAGCCCAATTTTTCTTTTTTTTTTTTTAAATTAATTACATTGTATTATGTGATACAGTCTAAAACCTCCTTTATGTATAGAAGTATGAAGTCATCTGTGACAAACAAGGAGGAGCTTCGTGTTCCCTCGGTTCTAAGATGTAGCAGACAGTACAGAGGTTTTTGGATGGCTGCTGTGAAAAATAATTTAAGAACGATTATAAAAAATGGCCTAGCAGAGTAGGGAGACGTCACGTGATGATCCGAACACTTTGTGCTTCCCGCTTCGTACTGGAGCGACTCCTGAATCTGAGGACCAGTTACTTTGTCTGAAGTCTCAGACAGAGGGACTGAACTGTGCAAGCAGGTGTCAAGTGTTGGACACAGTTCTTCAGTCTTATTTGGTCTGTTACTTGACAGTTTAAAAGAATAGACTTGTGTTAATTAACTTGTCAGTATGATCACAAGATAACCTGTGGCAAGCTGTGTCCCACAGACAGGTTTATTTTGGCTCACAATTCTGGAGGTGGGCGATTTGAACAGTACGATGCTGCTTCTGGTGAGGGTCTCTCCTGGGCCTGCGTCACAGGAGGGTGTGTACATCTGGGTGTGCCCTGGGCTTCTGCCTCCTACTAATCTACCAGGTTTGATCAGCACTCCACCCTGTCACTCTAATCCACAACTCTAAAGCGCAGTGGGTGGATAAATTGCCTCCATTTTAATACCGCGAACATAAGGTGTTAGCAATCAAACTCTGACATGAGTTTGTAGGGACAAATCATACACAATAGCTCAGAGCAAAGAAATTTAGCCAAGCCCATTTCTCGTTTGAAAACAAAAAGGGGCATCTGAATCCGTTATAGTTTATTGCACTTTTTACGCTATACACATTTCTACATGATAGACTATGCTGAATGCTTCATATACTATCTCAATCTATGAATTTCACTATGAATAGTGAAATTAGGTCTATTTTACAGATCTGAAAATCAGGGTTTAAATCAGCCTAAAGTCATGTGTAAGAAGTAATATCTCTTGTAAACTTGATCTTTTTTTCCCCTCAAAATGTGCCACCTTTAGATTTTTCATTTCACATGATCACAATTTGATGTGCTATAAAAAGGTGAGATATTGGCACATTTTTATCTTTTGAGAAGTTCCAGTACTACAAAGAATGAAACTTGTTTCATTCAGAAAGTTTCTCCATTTCTTAATATGTAAACAAGACCACCATTCCTCCATTGTCAAATTTTTGCATGTAGTCTTATTCATGGAGCTCTGTGTTAGTAGTCACATGTCATGGTGAGCGTCTTTAAAATATTTTAAAATACTGATGGGAATTTAGACTCAGAATTCCATATTGTTGGAGAGTCTGTACTGGACTGAAGGTGTTGGTTAGGCTTTTTTTTTCTTTTTTTTTGATCTGATAGTAAACGGACCAGACTTGTCCCAGTATTATATTCTTGAAACTTCACATAGTTCTTCATTCAGTCTAGCTTAATTCTCTTGGCTTCTTACATTGTTGAGTAGTGTGAACCATATTTACAAACTCTTTGTGAACTTTTCTGTTATCTTGTTCTCTCAAATGAACAGTGAGTTTTGTGTTTCAGGGTGCAGTGTCTGGGTCAGTGCAAGCCTCAGACAGACTCATGAAGGAGCTCAGGGACATATACCGATCGCAGAGTTACAAGTCAGGTAAGTAGCCGCCATGTCTCAGGATGGAACTGGGCAGAAACAAATGTTCATTAACTTTAAGGGACATTAAGCTCAAATTTAATTGGATTCCAGAAGATGTAGGAGATAAAAAAAAGGATGAGTTCTTGTTTTTTTCCACATTTAAATAAAAAAAAATTGTGTTTATGGATACATTGTACATTTTTTTTTAAGATTTTACTTGAAAGGATTTTGGAGAAAGGGAGGGAGAGGCAGACATTCCTTGTGCTGGTTCACTGCCCACGTGACTGCAGTGGGCAGGACTCAGCCAGACTGAAACCGTACGTTTCATCTGAGTCTTCCATGTGGGTGGCAGGGTCCCAAACACGTGGGGCCATGTTCTGCTGCTTTTCCCAGGCCATTCACAGGGAGCTGGATCGGAAGTGGAGCAGCCGGGACATGAATCAGTCTGTGTATGGAATGTCAGCACCATAGCCAGTGGTTTTACCCACTATGTCACAGGGCTGGCCGCCCTAGGTGACTTATAAAAGATAGGAGAGACAGAGAGGCAGATCTTCCGTCTGATGGTTCACTCTCCAAGTGGCCACAATGGCCAGAGCTGAACTGATCCAAAGCTATGAGACCAGAGCCTCTGCTGGGTCTCTCATGGTGTGTAGGGTCCCAAGGCTTTGGGCTGTCCTTGACTGCTTTCCCAGGCCATTAGCAGGGAGCTGGATGGGAAGCGGGGCTGCCAGGATATGAACCTATTTGAGATCCCAGCATGTGCAAGGCCAGGACTTTAGCTGCTCGGCTACTGTGCCAGGCCCGCAGTTAGGATTTGAACATGCACTCTTATGGGATGTTGACCTCATGGCCATTTTAGGGGTGAACCAATGGATGGAAGATAGCTTTCTCTTCCTCTTTCTCTTTTTCTTTTTCTGTCACTCTGCCTTTTAGGTAGCTAGTTAGCATTTTGATCCATTCCAGAATTTTCAGGATGCTCAAATCAAAATCAGAAAGTATTTAAAAATTTTCAAAGAATTTCCTTGCCTTATAGAGCATAAGATAAAAACAAACTTTATGGTTTGAGTTGTCAGAAGGTTGTGTCCTAATAATTTTCTTTGTGATAGTTTGTGATAGTCTGTGAAGTTTGTCTATATTAAATAAAGTATTTGAATACCAATTTTATCTTTAAATGTTATTTTGTTTTTACATTATTTGTAATAACAAAGCAAGTAATTCAGATATTGGGTAAATTAACTTACAGTATCTCTATAAAATCAGTACAGTTACTACAAAGATTGGTAGTAAATTTACTTGTATTAACCAGGAGGAAAGATATACCCAGAAAGTTGAAGAAAGAGAGGCTGATATTGTGGGGTAACAAGTTATGCCAGTGCTTGCCGTGTTGGCATCCCCTATCAGAGAACACCTTGGAGTCTTGGCCTCTCAGTTTCCAACGCGACTTCCTGCTCTTGTGCCCAGGAAGGAAGCAGCTGATGGTCCAGGTGCTTGGTCTCTGCCGCCAGTTTGGAGCTCCGCATGCAGTTCCTGGCTCCTCCTGTCGTTGGCCCATCCCAGCCCTAGCTGTTGGCGTCCATTTGTGGAGTGAGCCAGTGGTCAGGCGATCTTTCCTTCCATCCTCTGTCCCTTTGCCTTTCATGTAAATAATCAAAAGAAAAGATGACATGTATGTGGGATTCCCTTTTTAAAGAACTGTGTGTATGTGTCAAGAAGAGACATCTTAAGCACATATGAATTTACGCAATCTTTTTTTTCTTAATGTCAAGCAGTTTTTCAATTTATTCAGGAATCAGTAGTTTATGACTTTATCTGTGAAGGGAATAATAGACTCAACTGCAGTTGATAAAATACTTAGACTTTAGCTTATTTGTTAACATGGTTTAGTAGCAGATTTTTTTTTTTGCTTTTGTTGGCTGTTTAATCAAGTTATACGAGAGTGATAGTTATGTGATCGAAAGAAGAGAATTAATGTGGCCTATCTCTCTACAGGGATTTACTCAGTGGAACTCATAAATGACAGTTTATATGACTGGCATGTTAAACTGCAGAAGTAAGTGGCTTTTTGATGCTAATCTACTCTTTGCAGAGACGGTTGTCACCCTGGGGTTTTGTCCCTGCTTAGTTGATGCCCTTCTTGCTGGCTTTCACTTAGAACTTCCTATGACTTTTGTTGTCTCAGAACTCGTTCTTAGGTGATTAAAACCAGCTGTTTTTGAGGCGTAGCACATGAAGTATGAGAGGACCAGAGGTGGGAAGCAAGTATTTCCTGGATTTAAGGAGATGATGGGAATTTAAAAACAAGAGAGACTCTAGTGACTTGATGGGGGCCCGGAATCCCAGCACTTTTGGGATCAGGGTTTGAGTCTTGCCTGTCAACATGAGAACAATTGTGGACACACTTAGATCTGGGGAGTGATCTGACTTGGTGTGGTCCTTCTGCTTCTTAGAGCAGCATGCTAACATTTGAGTTATTGAGAAAAATTTCTGTACCTGTGGCTTGTTTTCCTTTAGAATGACAGCTGACTTTGAATTTCCTCCTTAGAATAGATCTAGATTGCTGTGGTTTCTCTTAGGCTATTTATTCCCAAAGTGCAGGAGGCTATCACGATTGCTTTTCCTAAAGATATAGAACCCTAGGGGTTCTGTTGGTTTTGGAATTGGTTCTTTCATGAGTTTAGTAAGAAGCATGCCTCTTTGAACTTGTTCTGTTTTTTAATTCTCAGGGTTGACCCTGATAGCCCTCTGCACAGTGATCTTCAGATCTTAAAAGAAAAGGAAGGCATAGAGTATATTTTGCTTAACTTCTCTTTTAAGGTAAGAAAATAGTAATGGGCTTAGAATTGGTCCTAATGAGAGCACGTTTGTTGCCAGTGCTTTGGAGAACAATGTGATGTTGTTTGGTAAAGCAGACAGGTCCTCATGTTTGTTTGTTTTGTTTTAGGATTTGTTTTCATTGGAAAGGCAAATTTATATAGAGACGGTAACAGGGAGATCTTCCATCCACTGGTTCACTCCCCAAACGGCTAGATCTGATCTGATCTGAAGCTGAGCAGTTACCATGAGCCTCCTCCAGGTCTCCCACGCAGGTGCAGGGTCCCAAAGCTTTGGGCAATCCTCCACTGCTTTCTCAGGCCACAAACAGGGAGTTGGATGGGAGGCAGGGCAGCCAGAATTAGAACCGGTGTGTGCCCATATGGGATCCCAGAGGTTGCAAGGTGAGACTTTAGCCACTAGGCTATCATGCCAGGACCACAGGACCATGAAGAAATTTTTATGAAGGTTTCTTGGGCAAGGACAGAAGTGAGAATTCTGAGAAACACTGAATTACAGATTCACCTTTGGGCAGTAAAACTGCCAAGAAGAGCAGACATTGCTGCCGAGGCCAGGAAGGAATCCATCTGGTGGGAGTGAGGGCATCAGGACCTCTGGGGCCTTTTAGGATACTTGCCTGACTCTAGTCTGAGTCTTGATCAGCCTATTGGGCACATAATTCTAACTTTTGTACCTCTTTATTTTATGCTCTTTTTCTGAGTTTATTTAATGAAAATTTTTTTTCCTAAAATGCTAAAAATACAGGTTAAAAATCACTGGACTCCTGCTTGCTCCGGCAGCACATTTACTAAAGATCCACAGACTCTCAGTGAGATTTTGATTGAACACAGAATCTGGATAAAATGTAATGGTTTAAAATCTTTGAAAACATTGAACCTTTGGTCAAAGAAAATTACTAGGAAATGTTCCGAAGGGGTAACAGTTCTATGGAGCTCCTTTTGATCACTTCCTTTACATTGAGAGAAATTTATGCAACCTTTGCCTTGCAGGGTTTTTTTGTTTGGTTTTTCTCCGTTTCAACTTGATAGACTCCAGTGCGTTCACTGCTGTAGAGGGTATGGGAGTGTGTAGACATCTGAAGTACGATTTTAGGATGCTTGTTTGGCACGGTGCTGGACAAGTTGCTTGGGACACTGCATCCACTTTATAATGCCTGATTGAAGCCCGGGCTTGATTTCCAACCCAGTTTCCTGCTTCGGGTGCCCCTGGAGGGCAGCAGCTGGCAGGTCGGGTGCTTGGGTGGAGTTCCTGTTGTGGATTTGGAGTCCTGCAATAGGCCTGGCTGAAACCTGGCTGTTGCCTGCATTTGTGTTTCTGAACCACAGTTCCTGATAGTGGAAGGAAAGTCCTTTTGAAGGTTTGGAGTATTTTTTTCAAATTCTATTCTTATTTTCTAAAGATCTATTTATTTTACTTGGAAAGTGAAGAGTTAGAGATTGGAGGAGGGACAGATCTTCCATTCACCAATTCACTCCTCAAATGGCTACAAGAGTCAGAGCTGGGCCAGCCCAAAGTTGGGAGCCAAGACCTTTTCCGAGCCTCCCATGTGGGTGCAGGGTCCCAAGGCTTTCCCAGGCGACAAGCAGGGATGGGAAGCAGGGCAGGCAGGACTTCACTCAGTGCCCTTATGGGATGCTGGCACCAGTAGGCAGAGGCTTAGCCTATTGCACCATGGTGCTGGTGGTGTGGAGTATTTATTAAAAGGCCTGATTGTCCCAGGATAGTTGCAAAGACCTCAACGGCCAAGATACTAGAGGCATAAAACTGGAATAAGTAAAAATTATAAAGAGGCAGTCTTCAACTTACTATAAGAAAGTGATTTGTAACTATGTGGAACATATGATGTTGCAGTTTTTCTAAAATAGAACATTTCCTCATCCTTAAGAATAGCTTAGGAAGCTGAGATGCAAAATTGGAAATTAGCTTTGTGTTTGCTGCCTTGAGACTTTCAAATTCTGAGTTAAATTAGCAAGTTATCTAAGTAACCCCAACATTGACTTCCATAATCGCCTTCATCTTTGCTGTTTGATTCCTGTAGCATCAGGATTAACGAGGGCAGTCAGCTTGCTGGGCTTGTCCAGTGGACACTCTGGGTTTCAGCAAGACAAAGAAACGTTCTGAGAACTGCTCACAGTGAAGGGAGGTTTGCAAGTCACTCTTCTGAGATGACGTGAAGACTCAAGTGACAGATTTCGTGAAGTTGAACTTTATTGGAAAGGCAAATTTACAGAGAGAAGGATACAGAAAGAGCTGTCTGCTGCTCTACTCCCCAAGTGGCCAGACAGCTGGGGCTGAGCTGATCCAAAGCCAGGAGCTTCTTCTGGATCTCCCATGTGGGTGTAGGGACCCAAGGCTTTGGGCCGTCCTCGGCCGCTTTCCCAGGCCACAAGCAGGGAGCTGGATGGGAAATGGAGCAGCCAGGATGTGAACTGGCACCCGTATGGGATCCTGGTGCATGCTTGCGAGGATTTTAGCCACTAGGCATGCTGGGCCCATGAGGTTGAACTTTACCAAGGTTTGGCTCTGTGCTTTTCATTATGTCTGCTACATTTTAGATCAAACGCGAATTAGGTGAAGCCTGTGGTTTTAGTAAATCTGATATTTGGGGTTTTTGTTTGTGTTTGTTTGTTTGTTTTTTGGTTCATTCCCCAAATGGCCACAACTGACCTGAAGCTGGGAACCTGGAGATTGCTTTGGGTCTGCCATGTGGGTGTGGTGTCAAGGATTTGAGCTGTGTTCTGTTACCCGCCCAGACCATAAGCAAGGAGCTGAATCTGAAGTGAAATAGCTGATATTCAAACTGGCATCCATATGGAATGCCAGCAGCATAGGTGTAGGCTTAACCTACTGTACTACAACGCTGACCCCTTTTTATTGCAGCAAGTAGTCCATGGCATTTAATGTTGTTGCTGATACTTAGGGCAAATTTGCCATCTTTTATAAAAATTAATTTATTTGAGAGGCAGGGAGTGAGTGTGTGAGTGAGCCAGCCAGCTCTCGTTCACTCCCCAGATGCCTGTTCCAGGACAGAGAGCCAGGACTTAAACACAGGTCTGCCATGGAGGTGGCAGGAATTGAACCATGGGAGCCATCCCCTGCTGCGCCCCCGGGTGTGCCCTGCCAGGAAGGTGGAATTCAGGGCCCAGCTGGGGCTCACCGCAGGCACCTTTTTGGGATGCTGGGGTTCCCGGTGGTGTCATGACCTCTAGGTCCAACTCCAGCCCCACTTCGATCATCTTACAAGTGACTCCTGCTGTTCTTGCTCCATGCTCCTTTTTCTTTTATGTTAATTTTTTAAAAATATATTCTCTGGTTTCCCACCTCTGTCCTCTTGGTTAGGTGTTCTCTTAGTTTTCTTCATACCCTACAGCTACAATACATGTGCTGGCTTTATATGAATTTATTATCTTGTATCTTGTTATTGTCTTCATTTTTGTCTTTCTAGCTTAATCCTGAATGTTTCTGAGCTGTTTTCCAGCTTACTAAGCTTCCTTCTAGTTTTTTCTTTTCCCCACAGTGGTTAAATTCTTCCATTACAATTAATTTTAATACTGTATTTCTATTTCTAAATTTAGTTATCAGACATTTCTTTTCCTTATACTTAGCAGAGTTACTTTCAAGTATCTGCTAACTCCACTGTCTCGACCCCCTGTGTTTGTGCCTGTTGTTGGAGATAGCACACTCCCATGGCCGGCTTTCTCGGTGGTGTGACTTCTATGTGAAATACGGTAGGGCTCTTTGGAAGCCTGAAGGAGATTCTTCCAGGGGAGAAATTCCCCTTGACCCCTGCCAGGGGCTTGGGCAGAAGCAGCCCAGACTTGCCTCTTCCAGGAAGGGATTGTGGTGATTCCAGCTCTGTGGGGACAGGTTGTAGTTTGTCCTACAGGGCCCGGGCTTGAACGGTTGGGGCTGATCAGAGCCTCTGCTGGTGGACCCTGAGCTCCAGTGTTGGTCACACTCCTCTATCCCATTTGTTCCTCTCTCACCTTTCTCTTCCATAATTGAAAGAACCAAGGCAAACCAAGGGAAACACAGCCCTCCTATCTGGAATTCCTCCTTGGTTTCTTCTGTCTCCTGGTCAGCCTGCAGTGATTATGTTTGCCACCCTTCTTGATCAGGGCCAGAAGATAGACCTCGATGACCCAGTCTGTCATTGTTGGAATGACCTGTAGAGTTTTGTAGACTTGTAGACTTCTGCTGAAAGTGAACATGTTCATATATTTTACCAATTGTCCAAGAGCATTGTTCTATTTGTCCTTGATTGGACTTTATACTTTGTTTTTTCACTTTTATTTTTTGGTACTGACTTTATAACCATCAGTTGTCATCAGATAATGAATACATTTTTTATAGGCTGTTTGGTTTTCCAAATAGCACAGTATTAAGAGTATTTTTAAAGGTTGACATGATGACTCAATTAGCTTTTCCTCCACCTGCAAATGCCGGCGTTCCATATGGGCACTGGTTCATGTTCCAACTGTTCCTGTCCCCATCCAGCTCCCTGTTTGTGGCCTGGGAAAGCAGTCAAGGACGGCCCAAAGCCTTGGGACCCTGCACCTGTGTGGGAGACCTGGAAGAGGCTCTGGGCTTGGGTTGGCTCAGCTCTGGCCATTCATTGCAGTCGCTTGGGGAACGAACCAGTGGATGGATGGAAGGTCTTTCTCTCTGTAATCTGCCTTTCCATGAAAAAAAAAAAAATATATATATATATATAAAAATATATATATATATAAAATATATATATATAATATATAAAATAAATAAAATATATAAAATATATAAAATATATATATAATATATATATAGAATATATATATATTTTTTTTACGAAAATAAGGATGTTCTTGGATTAAAGTTGCCTGTTTGCTTTCTAGGATCATTTTCCATTTGATCCTCCATTTGTTCGCGTGGTGTTACCTGTTCTCTCAGGAGGGTAAGTTGGAACGATTACTTTTTGGAGATGTGCTACAGAATCCTGTGGAGGGAGCTGTTAGGAGGCCTGCAGTGCCAGGCTCTGTCCTGAATGTTCTGGTTCTCAGATCTAGGCTGGGGTGGCGTCATCTTTGAGGCGTTCCCAAGGCAGGTTGTCGCTGCTGCTCTGGGTCCCACGTTCAGGACTGTTGGTATAGACTGCTTTGACTACAGTGGCTCTTGTGTATGTGTATTTCATATTGAAAATTCAAATGCTTTTCAAAATATAATTTTGCATTAAGGGTTTACATGAATGCCACGTGCCCATGACCCTGAGTGCCTGCTGGGCTACTCACAGGTGCTCTGATGGGCCACAGAGCTGTCTGTGCGTGCGCGGTAACTGCCGTGTAGGGGGAGTGAGCAGTGACGACTGGGCACTTTGTACTGAGGCTTCTCTGCTGCTTCCTTTTGACTGGAAGTGTTCATGGTGGGTAGAGGAAAAATATATCAAAATTTATTTTTAGGATAGTTGTGAAACATTCTTTATAACCCCAAGGTGTAGGGGTGGTTAAACTAATCTGAGGATTTTAAACACGTGACAAATTCCACTTTATAGAATACTCTGTATTATGATTTAAAATACAAAGTCCTTCAGTCATTGCTATAGGTGAGACAGTACTAGTTATATTTAAGTTAAAAAAATATGGGAAACTGCTAAAAAAATATTTCAGGGCTTTCTGTAGAAGTGTCCCCTTCCTATAATTATTCCATTTAGCTTTATTTATTTGTTCATTTTTGGTGGGGGGCTCATACCCTGTTAAGAGTTGTGTCTCAGTGGTCAGAATGTGTGCTAACTGTTGATTCTATACAGTTGCTATTTGAGCAAGATGTGTATCTGTAAAACTCAGAACGGTTTTGAGAGATGCAGCATGGCACACAGAGGTGCTAACCCCTTTCTGAGCTCTGCAACACCATCATGTTGCCCAGGAGCTTGCCTCCCTGACACCTGCCGTATCTGCCAGAATGTTCTGTGTCCTGCTAAGATTGCAGGGTTTTGAGACATCAGACTCAAAATATTCTTTACCGAAGAACTTCCTGGGGCCTATTAATGTGACCTCCCGAGTTGACCTTAAAGTGTCCTTCCCCCCATGGATGGAACGGGTATCTGCTTTGCTCTTTCACCATGGCACCTCAGAGCCTGGAGTGCCTTGGTTAGTTCACTCTTGGTGGGAAATGCTGCTGTATTAGAAATCTGGAGGTTGGAAGTGACTCCCATGTGTCTGTGACACAGAACAAGAAAAGCTGAAGTCCTGTCTTGCCGGATAGGCTTAGGGGGTCCACAGATCCTGTTCTAGAAAGCCTGGTCCCTTTGATGACCCGCAACAAGGCTGCTCATGGGCATCCTGTTAGGGTGAGCGCGGAAGACAGAAGGTTAATGGAGCAAGAAATAGTGTTATTTAGAATTGTGCCAAGCTTTATTTTGTTACCTTTCGAGCTTGGGTGGACCTCTTTTTGGATTATGCAGTGAATGTGCCATGGATAGTACTGGTCCGGTCACGAAGTCGCATCAGTTTTAGAGGTTGGTCATTAGGTAGCTGGGCAAATATTTACATACACAAAATAAACATAGGGTGGCAAAATGGTAAATGTTTAGCCTTAGGTATCCTGTTCAGAACACCAGGTTTGTTCTAGGCACCAAACCTTCGTATGTGTCCTCTAGTTTGTTGCCTATATTTTTATGAAGCTTTTACTAATTAGACTTCAGTATTGTGCTTTGGTGTATGTTCTTGCTCAGAAAATTGTTTAACCAGTGTCTAATAGAATGGGAAAAGTTAATTTTTGCCTCCGAAATCCTTTTCAAGAGAAAAAAAATAAGACTTGGAACAATTCAGTACATTTAACATAAGATGTTTTTATCCAAACACTATGATAAAGTTGCACAAGTTTTGCACATTTTGTTGTGAGAAATTCTAAGTATACTCTTAAGTAGCTTGCCGCCTGTGTGTGGAGAGCAATATGTGAAGTTCTGAATAATGTCATTTAGATTTCTAAAATCTGTGGCATGTTGAGTTTTTGGCCACTTTGGGGCCATTGTCCCTATTCATCATTCAACTTTGACTTATGCAAAAACAAAACAAAACAAAAAAAACCTTCTGACTCATGATGAAGTGCTTTTCGTGATATCAAAAGCCAGTTATATAAAAGGAAAGTCGCAAAGCATTAAGTCCTCCACGGACTGTCACGTGTGACGTGTGGATAGGTCACAGGAGCAGGAAGTGGCTCTGGCTGCGGAAGGCGTTGCCAGGTAGTGAGGTCAGAGGTCTTGAACACCATCCACAGAGGTGTGAATGATCGCGTGTCTAGGAAAGAGGGCGCTGTATTTAGAATATACAGACCGGTGTGAGCTGGAACAAAGGGAGTGGCGGTTGCATTCCCAGGGATCAGCGTAAGAAACCGTGCTGCCACCAGGACTCGCGCCTGTGCGGTACCACAGATAGGTGGCTAGGCCCTGTGATTGTGCTATAGGTGAGCAACCCGTTACCCGTGGACACAGAATATGTTCCCCTCCCCCCTTTTGGGTAACATTTATTTATATTGGAAAGTCATATACTGAGAAGAGGAGAGACAAAGAGGAAGAACTTTCGGCCGATGATTCACTCCCCAAGTGACCACAATGGCCAGAGCTGCGCCAATCTGAAGCCAGGAGCCAGGAGCTTCTTCCGGGTCTCCGACATGGGTGCAGAGACTTAAGGCTTTGGGCCGTCCTTGACTCTTTTCCCAGGCTACAAGCAGGGAGCTGGATGGGAAGTGGGGCTGCCAAAATTAGAACTGGTGCCCATATGGGATCCTGGTGTGTGCAAGGCAAGGACTTTAGCCACTAGGCCACCACGCCAGGCCCTGAATCTGTCCGTTTTTTTTTTTTTAAGATGTATTTATTTTTATTGGAAAGTCAGATATACAGAGAGGAGAGACAGAGAGAAAGATCTTCCATCCGATGAGTCACTCCCCAAGTGACTGCAACGGCTGGTGCTGTGCTGATCCGAAGCAAGGAGCCAGGATCCTCTTCCAGGTCTCCCACGCAGGTGCAGGGTCCCAAAGCTTTGGGCTGTCCTTGACTGCCTTCCCAGGCCACAGGCAGGGAGCTGGAAGGGAAGTGGAGCTGCCGGGATTAGAACCAGCGCCAATATGGGATCCCGGCACGTACAAGGTGAGGACTTAAGCCGCTAGGTCACGCCGCCGGGCCCCAGAATCTGTCCATTTTTTAAGAAACTGGTTTCAGAAACACAAACAACAGTTGAAAAAATAGAAGTTCTAGGAAGATAAATCTGGTGATAGAGTACAAGAGATTAGTGGTGGTCAAGACAGTACAAGACAGTACAAGTACAAGTCAAGTAGCAGTGCAGGGCAGTAGTCGCAAAGCCTGCAGGATTGTGGCGTCAGGTACTCGGAGTCTAAGTCAGTAGAGGAAGTGGAAAAAGGAACAAGCTTGACCGCTGGAGGCAGAATCAAAATGACATGGCCTTCAGGGGAATTGTTGAATAATTTGAACTGAAAATGAAATACTGATAAAACAGCTTGCAATCTATAATCAGCATAGAGTTCACCATTCTGTGGTGGAGATTGTTTTTTTCTTTTTAAGATTTACTTACTTGAGACTGCTGCAGTGGTTCAATTGGCTAGTCCTCCACCTGAAAGTCCTGGCATCCTGTGTGGGCACTAGCTCCTGTCCTGGCTGATCTGCTTCTCATCCAGCTCCCTCTTTATGGCCTGGGAGAGAAGTAGAGGATGGCCCAGAACCTTGGGACACTGCACCCTCACGGGAGACTCAGAGGAGGCTCCTGACTGCTACTTTCAGATGGGTTCAGCTTTGGGCCATCCTCAAGTGCTTTCCCAGGCCACAAGCAGGATGGGAAGCGGGGCTGCCAGGATACGAACCGGCGCCCATGTGAGATCCCGGCGTGTGTGTAAGGCGAGGACTTTAGCCACTTTCCTACCGTGCCAGGCCCTGGAACCATTGTTCTTATGGGATGCCACTGTTATCACAGCTTTATCTGCATCACAACTCCAGCCCTGGGTTGATCAACTTTTGTTCCATATATTGGCTGTCCCACATGTGCTCTGTACCTTGTCATAATCGGGCTTTTGGGGAATAAAATCCAGCTTTATTGTGATAAAGTTCGCATTGCTAAAATTCACCTTTAGAGTATAAGTGGACACTTCAGTGGTTTTTAGTTTTGTTGTGTGGAATTGTGCAGCTATTTGCACTATGTAATTTCAGAAAATATCCCCCCTTGTATCGTTGACAGCCACTCCCCAGTCTTTGCCCTCCCACCGACTCTGGCAACCACTGCTCTGACGTCTGTCTTTGTACACCTGCCTATCCTGACTATTTTGCTTGCATAGAATCAAACAAAATGTGGTCTTCTGTACCTGCCTTCTTTCTAGTAATTATCAACCAGAGGCCTGCGGAGTCTGAGCTTAGCAGGGTGTTGGTTGTAACAACTTTGGTAACTGAATTTTTAAAGTTGAAAATGTCCCTCTGTCCATGTGTGTGACATATTATGCTTTATAAATTGTTATTGCTTTTCTTTGTGCTGCTTTGAACTGTTCCAATATTCAACAGAAACTCTGAGGAACAGAACAGTGAGTTTAACACACTGATAAAAATGAGTGTAATTCAGCTTGGAAATAGAGCTGGCTACTTTGAGGGTCCATTCAGCTCACAGCACACGTCACAGACAGGTGTCCTGACCTCATTTGGTATAGGTTACTAGAACTACTTCTGTCTTGTGGTTAAGCATCCAACAAATACTTTTAGCTAGTATGTGCTTATACAAGCACACTTTGGTTTGACCTACAAATGTGAAAAACTTCCTTTCTTCCTACCTGAGAGACCGTTTCTTTGAAATTCAGTTATCTGAAAATCAGAGTTGTAGAAGTAGAGTGAGTGAGCGTGAGCCAACTCCCATCATCCACTGGTTCCAGGGCAAAGCCAGGAGCTTCATCTGGGTCTCGCATGTGGGAGCCAGGAGCCCCCTTTCACTGCTCCCCCAGGGGCATCAGCAGGCAGCTGGATCAGAAGTAGAACAGTTGGAACTGGGACTAACACTCCGACGGTATGCCAGCATCACAGGCCGCATCTTGACCCACTGCACCGTAGCACTGCCCCCAATCCAGTCCCTTTCTAGCTTGAGCATTTCTGCATGCGAAGATCAAGTGTGGTGACAACCAGTCGGCAACTGAGTAGACTTTGAGCAGTGTTTAAACGAGAATCTGGATCAGCCCAATGGGAGAGCCAGAGAATTGAAGATAGATTTCTGTGTTCAGAAATGCAAGAGAATATACAAAGTTCTCAGTTTTCGGTCTCACGGCTGTCGGAGCCAGCACTGTGACACGGCAGGCTAAGCTTCTGCCTGCAGCACAGCATCCCTTAGGAATGCTGGTTCGTGTCCTGGCTGATCATCTTCCTGTGCCAGCTCCCTGCTAATGGCCTGGGAAAGGGGCAGAGGATGATCCAAGTCTTTGGGCTTCTACACCCATGGGGGACACCCTGAGGCAGCTCCTGGCTCCCAGCTTTAGGCCAGCACAGCTCTGGCTGTTGCAGTCACTGTGGCAATGAACCAGTAGATAGCTCTCTCTCTCTCTGTCTCTCCCTCTCTGTAACCTTGCCTCACAAGTAAAAAATAAATTAAAAATCTCCTGGCTCTCCATCTAAATTTAATTTTTCAGTGTTTCTCTTTTAGGTTTCCTTTCCCTCCCATTCAACTCTCTTTTTGAAAAATGAAAGCAGCAGTTGGAGAGACCCTTGCCTGGTTTCTCCAGAGTGAGGGAGTTGAGTATGTCCCCTGTCTCATTGTTAATTTCAGTGTTATAGTGACTAACGTTAATGGCCTACAGTCGGCATTTTTACATGCCTTGCTTGTGCATTGATTTGATTTGGTCCACATAAAGATGCATCCTGAGAGAATGAAAGGCTCGCAGCTTAGAGTAGCCTTGGTAAATTCTATGGTGGAGAAACATCATTTGGAAGAGTGGCCGAGGAAGGGTGTGAGCCAGGCTCTTGCAGAAGACAGTTGTGTGTGGTGACCCGGTGTTGGCATAGACCTTGGCAATGCTCTGGCTTTCCCTGCTTCCGGGGCAGCACGATCGCTCATATGATGGCATTCTTTTTGTTTTTAAAGCTTATTAATGTATTTTAAAGTTTAAAATAATGGAGAAGCAAAATTGTTTGAGAAAAGGCAGAAAAGTTGAAGACTCTTGTTCCAAATAATGACTTCCCTAAGGAAGTTCTAGAAAATCCCCAGAAGTTGGTCTCAGAGAACATATTTGCAAATTATCATCTCACCTTGCGTGCCTGCTTTCCTTGGTGATGTTACTTTCAAAATGTATTGAGAATTATGCCAAGATCTGGAGAGTTTTGTGTGATTCCGTTTTTCTTTTTAAGGTATGTGTTGGGTGGAGGAGCATTGTGTATGGAACTTCTCACAAAACAGGTGACTTGGCTTTTCCAGTTTTACTTTTGTCTTTTTGTTTGGGAGACAGACACAGCCAGCCAGCCAGAGCTCCTAGACACTGGCTAACTCTCCAAACGCCTGCAGCAGCCAGGGCTGAGACTCAAGTTGGGAGCGGGGCACCCTGATCCAGGTTGATGGCAGGGACTCCCATCAGCTGCTGCACTGGTGGGAGGCTGGAGTTGGGACCTTGGGCCAGCTATGCAAAGCAGATGCTCTGCCGCGGGCCTGCAGGCATCTTAACAGCTAGGCCAAGTGCCCACTTCTGTAAATGTGTTCCATCTCAACAGATTTAAATAACAAAATTCCAATGTAGTCTTTTTTTTTTTTCTTAATAGTATCTGCTTTTAAAACTAAAAACAAACAATGATAGTAAACAATAAGGTAAACCAGTAAGATGACCTTGTACTTGGAACTGAAACCATAGCAGGGGAGACTTTAATGGTGATGTTTTGTAAGGTTATAATTTGACTCCTGGCTGATGGATGCCTAGAACTTAAGCTTGCTGGGTTCGCTTTGCTTTTCTCCTTGCCAAACTGCCGTTGTTGGAAGATCGTGTGGTGTTGTGTTGGGGTTTTTAAGTGGGGATCAGGCGTACCTGGGTGTCTTAGAGCCCTCTTTTCTTCTTCCTGTAGGGCTGGAGCAGTGCCTACTCCATAGAATCGGTCATCATGCAGATCAATGCCACGTTAGTCAAGGGCAAAGCCAGAGTGCAGTTTGGAGCCAATAAGGTACTCTCATTAAGGATTTCACGTGAACTCTAAGACAGGTGTCATGTCGCCTCAGGGGGCTTCTTTCTGTCTTGACCAACATCTTTTTGAGATAGTTCATTCCGTTTTCTTGTCATGTTTTCTTGTTAACGGAAGTGATTTATATAGAAAACGTGGGTGTGCAGGAAAATTAAATATATCAATGTATTATTTAGTATTTCTTTTAGTCGCGATTATCTTTACTATAAATATGTCTGGTTTTAAATGTATTGATCAGTACACTGTACGAAGCAAACGTGTGTAGGTACCTTGAGGTGTCCCAAGAACACCATGCTACGATAGTTACACCAGTTACGGCTCCATGAGCTCGGCTCTAGCCTAAACTTTGTTTCTTGTGCCCTTTCAGTCATCTAGATCAGCTGAAACATGGCTGTGGCTCTTGTCCGCTTGGCAGAAGAGGACACTGGCGCAAAGGCTAGAGAGTCTGTGTCGAGGTGACAGAGCAAGGACCGGAGCTAGTGCTAAGCTTTGCTAAGTTCCTATATTTAAAAACCAGGGATAAATCTACCAGTGAATATTTAAGTGGGCTCAAGTTAAGCTCTGAAGCTACTACATTTTGGGGAAAATGTTATGTGATGGAAACCATCCTTACCTAATGTTTTAAAAAAGTTGAATGTTCCTAAAGTTCTTTCTGAATTTTGTGCAGCATATCTATCCAGATAGCATTAACCACTTACCACCATCTCCTACCCAGAATCGCGAGTCTGCTTAGAACCGTAACTCAAAATGGTGAGAAAAGACTGAAACAGCTGCTTTACAGAGTCCAGTACTTTTTTCCCCCCTTCTCTTAGCTGTTTTTTAAAGAAATGGAAGAAAAAACCATTTGGTATAAAATTCAAGTTAACTATTGCATGCTAATGAGTTCCAACTACATGAGCTAACATTTCTTCCTTGTTTGTTTTTCTTTAAAGAGTTTTCTTTATTGAAAAGCAAAGTTGCAGAGAGGGAGAAAGATCTTCCCTCTACCGGCTTACCCCTCGAATGGCTGCAAGGACCAGGGCTTGGCCTGGCCAAAGCCAGGAGCTTTCTCCAGGTCTCGTGCCAGTATAGGGGACCAGGCACTTGGGCAAGCTTGCAGGTCTATTATAGCGAGCTGGATACAAGTGGAACAGTTGGGACAAGAAACAGCAGTATGGGATGCTGGCATTGCAGGCAGTAGCTGCACTGATAAGCCACAACGCCTGTCCTTTGGCTAGCATTTCTTTTTCTTTTTTTTTTTTTTTTAAGATTTGTTTATTTTTATTGGAAAGGCAGATATACAGAGAGGAGAGACAGAGAGGAAGATCTTCCGTCCGATGATTCATTCCCCAAGTGAGTGCAACAGCCTGTGCTGTGCCGATCCTGAGCCAGGAGCCAGGAACTTCCTCCAGGTCTCCCACGTGGGTGCAGGATCCCAAAGCATTGGGCCATCCTCGACTGCTTTCCTAGGCCACAGGCAGGGAGCTGGATGGGAAGTGAGGCTGCTGGGATTAGAACCAGCGCCCATATGGGATCCTGGTGTGTTCAAGGCGAGCACTTTAGCTGCTAAGCCACGCCGCCGGGCCCAGCTAGCATTTTTTAACAGTAAATATTTCAGTATGTTAGTGTTTTAATGGTTTAAATGTTGCAAAAGAATGTAGTGGAATTTTTACTATTTTAGTGATAAAATGTATGCTTCCTATGCAGTTTTTAAACTAGATTATGACATACAAAGCTAGGGCCTGGTGCGGTAGCCTAGTGACTAAAGTCCTCGCCTTGCATGCATCAGGATCGCATATGAGCATTGGTTCTAATCCCGGTGGCCCCACTTCCCATCTAGCTCCCTAGGAAAGCAGTCAAGGATGGCCCAAAGCCTTGGGACCCTTGGGAGACGCAGAACAGGCTCCTGGCTTCTGATCGGCTCAGCTCAGCTCTGGCCATTGTAGCCACTTGGAGTGAACCAACAGACAGAAGATCTTCCTCTCTGTCTCTCTTCTTCTATGTATATCTGACTTGCAATAAAAATAAAATAAATCTTAAAAGAAAAAAACAAAGCTTAAAGGCTGCAGATTTGTAATCTGAATATCTAGAAGACTAAAAAACATGCTGGTGCACTTCTAGTCTTTTACTAATACTTCCTGAAATGTGGTTAATTCTGGGACAAGATGCTACAATGTAATTATTTTTTTTAACTTAGCATTTTCTTTTTCTGAAAAGATAATCTGAAGTGCCTAAATTTGTGACCTGTTGGAGTAGTTGAAAGCACATCTTACCAAAAGTTCACTGTGGAAACTTTCTTCTGAATTCTGTGTTACCAGTGCTTGAGTCTCTTTGTTTCTGTGACACAGTTCTAGTCGAATCAACTGACATCAATATAATTTCTTTATACTTTTGCATTTTTCTATGATTTGTAGCTCTCGGCAAGTAAAAATAACCATTATACTAAGTCAAGCTATAAGCATGACATTTGTGTATTAAAGTTTTGCACAACCTTTCAGCAACGGGTTCAGCTCTCCTGACTTCATCTTTGGGGGAGCATCGTGGCATGTACTTACACGAAAGAGGCCGCAGCGAACTCAGATAAAACTGGGGTGGGTCACTTGGGAGACCCGGAGGAAGCTCCTGGCTCCGGACTGGTTCTGCTTCAGCCATTGCAGGTACTTGGGAAGCAAGCCAGTGGATGGAATATCTGTCTGTCTCTCAGTAAATCTGCCTTTCCAATGAAAATAAATAAATATTTAAACAAACAGAAGCCCTAGGCTAGGTGCAGCCTGTCTGTCCTTGCTCGAAGCATCACCGTGTGGCACGTGGCTGTGTGCCTTAGCTGGCGCTGTTTGTGTTTAGTGTATTTTTATGCTAGAATTTCATTATTTCCCTAGCGGCTAAAGTCCTCACCTTGCACGCACCAGCATCCCAATGGGCGCCAGTTCTAATCCCAGCAGCTGCACTTCCCATCCAGCTCCCTGCCTGTGGCCTGGGAAAGCAGCAGAGGACGGGACCCTGCACCCACGTGGGAGACCCAGAAGAGGCTCCTGGCTCCTGGCTTTGGATCAGCTCAGTTCTGGCTGTTGTGGCCACAAGGTCATAAACTAGCAGAGTGAGGATTTTCTTTTCTATCTTTCTTTATCCTTTCTGTATATCTGACTTTCCAATTAAAAAAACATATGGTGTAGTGAAATCTTGGGAGGAAGATGTTAAAAGTAGGAGAAATGAAAGAGTGCATGTAAATCAGCTGCAACAAATGTAAACAGATTAGTTTAACCAGTTAAATTAATAAAATGAAATCCATTAGTAAATGTTGCCAATGTGGAGATACAGGATTGGAGTTTTTTTTGAGTGATAAAGATGTGCCAGTGTGCACTAACCAAAACCAGGTGATGGAGCTTGGTATCAAAGAATGATTTCAGAACAAAAAGCCGCAGTGATGAGTGCAAAGCCTCTGGGCTCACGCCGACGCATAGCAGTGCGCGTGCTCACTGTAACAGTGGTCTCCGAATGCAGAAGAAAGCTGATGAGACGGAAACCACGGCAGCTCCACTGCTGGAGGTGGCAGAGAACCATAACGGGCTTGGTCTGTGGATGAATTATCCTGCAAGTGTATGTGGAACATGAGAAAGTAATTCATATACGACACCATAAAGAAAATAGGGAGATTTAAAGACAATCTGTGCCCAAAAGCCAACTGTATAATTTAGAAAGCTGTTTTGGTTTAGAAGCCAGTGATGAAATTAATTTCCAAGTCCATGTACATTTCATCAAGCATATTTCGAAGTCATGATTAAGAAACCAAATGAAAAAAAATTTTTATTTTTTATTGGAAAGGCAGATATACAGAGAAGATGAGAGACAGATCTTCTGTCTACTGGTTCACTACCCAAATACCACAATGGCTGGAGCTGAGCCAATCTGAAGCCAGGAGCCAGAGCTGCTTCTGGGACTCCCAAGCAGGTGCAGGGGCCCACAGCTTTGGGCCGTCCTCAACTGCTTTTCCAGGCCACAAGCAGGGAGCTGGATGGGAAGCAGAACCACCTGGATTAGAATCGGTGCCCATATGGGATCCCAGCAGATGCAAGGCAAGGATTTAGCCACTAGGCTACTGCACCAGGCCCAAGTGAAAATTTTAAAACACTTAGAATTGAATCATGACAGAAATACTAAGATTCTCTCTTCCCTTCTGGACCATTCATGAGGCTAAAGCTGTTCAGTGAAGTCAGCCTATAATTTTGCAAAGCAGAAAGACATCATTCCCTAGTCCTAGCTACACGTAAGTCACCATGTTAGTAACCATCAGAACTCATGTATTCTTTGTAGAATTGCAAAACTCATTTGAACAATACTTGTGTCAAACTGGAGTTTGGATTTAAAATGCAGAGTGTGTGGAGCACATGGCAATAATGTGACCACTACGGTTCCAACAGCAAAGGGGAGCTTTTTATCACCTTCCCATCCTTAAGTCCTCTGGAAAGGAACATCTCGTTGGAGAAAAGTTGAATTAAAAGTTATAAGTAGAAACCCCAGTGAATTAGGAACATAGAAAGTGATAACCTCCATGTTAGGAAGGCGTCTGCAATAGCAGTCCCTTAATTTTAAAGATACACAGGGCAGAGTTAGAGGGAGAAGAAGCAAAATGTCCTCTGTTTCACTTCCCGCAGGGCCACAGTGACCAGAGCTGGGCTGCTCTGGAGCCGTCAGCGGGCACTTCCTCCAGGCCGCCCACCTGGGTGCAGGGGCCCGAGGACTTGAGCTGTCTTCTGCTTTCCCAGGCGCATTAGCAGGCAGCTGGAGCAGAAAAGCAGCTGGGACTTCCATGGGTTCCAAGTTTGGCTCCTTCCAAGAAGATCCTGTGTCTTTCTACCGAGAGAGGAGTTTTTAATAATGACTTGGTGCTAATTAAGGGCAGATTTTCGATTTTTAACTCGAAATCCCATTCATCTGTGTGGTCCCTGCCGCCCAGCGTTTTCTCATCTGCAAGCCGCGTTGCTCGTGGTTTGTTTGGGTGGTAGTCGGCATGGTCGTCCCGTAACGTGGTCCCCTGGAACCACAGGGCTCTCTGCCTGCTCTGAGCTGTAGGCCTTGTACCTTTCCAATGGAATGTTCTTAGAAAGTTGCAGAGAATAATGAAATTGGGAAATGAGGGTAGGGAGTGTTTTGAAGTGGAAATAACATTCTGTATCCGGTGTTGTTTGAAGCACTGCAGTGATGCAGCAACAGACTTGAATAATTCTCCTCTAGTTTTGATTTAAAATGTGTCACTCTCCTTTTTTTCAGAATCAGTATAACCTAGCAAGAGCCCAACAATCCTATAATTCCATTGTACAGATACATGAGAAGAACGGTATGTTTCTAAAATGTTATATAGCCAGCTGTTCATAATAATGCCGGCTTTTGTTTTTGTTTTTTTTCACAATGCCTGGGGTATGTTAAGGCTGGGGGTAAAGGGCAGTCTCTTAATTCTTTTAAAATTCACAGACAATGCTGTTTGATTTTATCGCATACAACATATCTTGAAGCAGAACACATCCATCACCTCCGAGTTGTTTTTGTGTGAGCATGCTCTAGTCTTCGCCTGCAAGCGATCAGGAACCTGTTCACAGTGTTGTGCTGTTAGCTGTGCTGCCGCCACGGCCCCCACGGCCCCCACGGTCCCCACGGCCCCCACGGTCCTGTCTTTGTGGGACTGTGCTGCCACCACGGCCCCCATGGTTCTGTCGCCACTGAACCTGCAGGGCTGGAGTGCACATCCACAAAGGGACATCGGTCGCTCCACCGACAACAGCCCATGGGCCTTTTATTCTCCGTGCTGGGATATGAGAACACAACCTAGCCAAAATAAAACCTAAAATGTGCTTTAATATTCCACACCGTAATCTTTTAACAATGTCACTAAAACAGATTTTATGTCAAAAAACTCAAGTACAATCTATTTGTAGAAGACTACATTGTAGAAGACATAGCTAATCCAGGTGTAAGTTTCTAATTCCGTTTTGCAACACGCTTACACACTGAGTGGCGACTGTGGCTAACCCTCACAGTACCAGTCCTCCTGTTTGGTTTAAGAATTAAAAGCATTTTAATGTTTTGTTTTTCTTCTCTTTCAGGCTGGTACACCCCTCCAAAGGAAGATGGCTAACTGTGTTGACTGTGCCATGTGCGGACCACTGTTGCTTTCAAGAGAAGCTCTCCAACACGCACGGCCTGAGTGCCCCATCACAGCAGCACTGAAGACGTTAGCTAGTAGATGTTGTAGTGGGTAACTTGTCGCCTGACATCCAGTCTAACTTACAGCCTTTCCACTTTGCTCATCTTGGGGATCTTGGGCTGAGCACTGGGGCCTTTCTTCCTCCTGACAGACACACACTGGCCACTCCTTGTCTCTTTCTTGATGAGGGAAATCCTTTCAGCAGACAAGCCAGCACCAGGTGACTCAAGTTGTCGCTCGACTTCCTATTTTGAAAGCCAATGGGTTACGAGGATTCGCAACATGTTGCTATGTTTAGTCAATGAAATTTTAATCAATGCTCAGCATTGGCTTAGAAAAATCTTAGGTCCCCTAAACCAAATAGCATCTGTCAGGTTTAAAACTCTTTTTTATAATACTGCCATATTAATTACAAGGGATCTGATTAAACCGTCAAATGTTTTAATGCCATTTGGTGATATGAACTATTGACTGAGGCCTGCTCTTGAGTGGGTGATGTACCTCTTAGGCACGGAAAGCCATGCCTAGCCAGTGCAGGCTGCAGCCAGCCCACCCTTCCACCCATGCCGCAGTCTGCCTCTTGCTGGTTTCATATTTTTTTAAGAAGAACCACAGGATAGAGCTTGAAGGTGTTTAAAATATGAAGTCATTTTACCTTTCCATTTTATTAATGGATATTGCAATCATTTCTAAACTAATAAACCTAAAAGGTGATTGGTGCGGAGATGTGAGCAAGTGTGGCACCAAGAACAAAAAGAAAAGCTAATTTGGACACTTTTTTTTGGCTGAAGTCATAATGATGGTTTTTACATCAAAAACTTTCAATTCTGTAAGACCTGACACAGGTCAGAGTACTCCCAAATCAGCCCCATTTGGTTGGGAACTGATTTTTTTTTTTAATTCATCCAAGTTTGATTTAAAAGGAAATTCTAGAGACTATAAGCACTTTTTAAAAAAAACCCAAAAGCACATATTTTTTTTTCCTGCGCAACCCTGTTAAAGTTCAGAAGTGTTTCTTACGCGTTTTCTTTGCGATTCGGTTGTGAACTTTGTAAATCACACAGAGACTTTTCTGTTCTTATGGGTGTGTAATCTCTTCTTCCTTTTTTGGCTAAAAGGACCGTTCCAACGTCCAGGTTTTCTGGCCTCCTTGTCCCCTTGTTTACATTTATATAAAGGTCTGACTGCAGGCCGAGTGCTTTAAAGCATTACTGTCCCTGATTCCTACGGCTGAATCTTGAATACATTATCGAATTATTTCATATCCAGTGGCTAGCAGATGGGCAGCTGCACACTTGGCATGCTTTGTGGTTTTTATTTTTAGATTTTTAAAAAATTTTCATTGCAGACTTATTTGGCAATGTACAGTTAAATCTTGTTAAACTTGCATCAAGTTTATAAATAAAGAGTCATTGATGAGTAGGAGTCAGGTCTGATTTCTGGAGGAGGGGGTGGCTGTGTATGCTTCGGGATGATGCTCGGCTTCTTGGGCGCCCTCCCCAGTGGACCCCGGCTGCAGGAGGAGGCAAAGCACGGCCAGGCTGAGGGGTCAGGGTGAACCTGTGCACGAGGGGCTGGCGGTACCCTTCCCAGTGTCGGTGTGAGCCGAGGACGGGGACCCCCGTGAACCCAAGGGGTGTCTCTGCAGGATTTGGGGAGCTCCCCATGAACCTAAGGGGGGGTCTGCAGGATTTGGGGAGCCCCTCCCTAGGTCATTCCCGGGTTCCTAACACTAGAATCTTAACTAGCCATCCTCACCCGTTCCTGTCAGTTCCAAAACTCGGGCGCCAGGACTGTAAAGTCCAACAGGTCCCAACCAGCTGGCCAAAACCGATCCGCAGACGACCGGGACGCCACCGGAAGCCCGGCTGCCCCGAGGCAGGCCTGCGCCTGCGCACCAGCTCCTCCGTGGCGGCCAGCCGGAAGCGGCAGTGCGCGCGGCCCGGGTCAGCGTTGGCGCAGCGACTGGCGCGGCGTCCCGCTCCGGCGGGCGGCGTGCTGAGGCATGGAGACCCGCGGGGCAGACCCCCGGGCCACGCTGGTGCTGAGTAACCTGGCGGAGGTGGTGGAGCGCGTGTTCACCTTCCTGCCCGCCAAGGCGCTGCTGCGGGTGGCCGGGTGAGCGGCGGGGCGGGCCGGGGGCAGGCGGGGTGCGCGCGGGGACACCCCGAGGCAGGGGGACGCCCCGAGGCAGGGGGGACGCCCCGAGGCGGGACCCCCGGGCCGCAGCCAACCCTCCCTGTGCTTGTGCGTTCCCAGCGTGTGCCGCCTGTGGAGGGAGTGCGTGCGCCGGGTGCTGCGGACACACCGCACCGTGACCTGGATCGCCGCGGGCCCGGCCGAGGCCGGACACCTGGACGGGCACTGCCTGGTGCGCGCGCTGGCCGCGGAGCTGGAGGCGAGTACGCAGGACGCGCTTGGGGTCGTTTTCGGGGGGCTCAGGTGTTGGGAACGTCCGTTGTCGGGAGGCTGTGGCAGAGGTGTGTATGTGTGTGGGGGCTGCTGTGGCAGGTGTGTGTGTTTGTTGTGCCTTGATTGGCGTGGTCCCTTCACCAGGGGCAGGTGTTGCCTCTTGATCCTTGTCACACCAGCTAGAAAAGCGGGAAGCCTAAAACTTACTCTTGCGTTTTGGGACCCACCCCGTTGGAAGGGAGGGGACCCCAACCCCCCGGGGGCAGACAGCGGCTTCCTTGGTTTGTGGGGCCAGAGCAGGAGAACATCGTCCTCCCTTTGGCCGTGTCTGGTGTTCATCCGAGTATGTGTCCTCGCCACACACTCACAGGGGGTGCTGTGCTTGCACGGGCCGCCCGTGGGTGCCGTGGCTGGGCACTGTCACCTTCGGGTTTTGTGAATGAGTGTTTGAGGAAGAGTGGGAAGTTCTGTGCGCGTCCGTTTTGACGAATTCGGTAACTGACATTTCTGTCCGCTTTTCCTTTGGGCGGATAGCGATGCCGCGCTTGCAGGGCACAGTTTGGCTGGTGGAAACCTCTTTATCCTCTTTTTTGGCCAAATTTCTTTCAAAGGTGAGGCATCACAGCCACAGATGGACACAGAGGTTGGAGAGCTTCTTTGTTTCCCAGGAAGCTCTGAACTCGCCTTGGGTTGGCCAGTTCCCCAGGAGGACGTGCATCCTGTGGGTGTCTGCTCCGTGATGGAGCTGTCTACAGCCGTCTGCGCCATCCGGGGACAGGGTCAAGGAGTTGTCCACCACAGTTGTCCCTCGGTGTCCAGGGACCGGTGTGAGCTGATGTGGCAGAGGCATCAGACCTTCCTCAGGCCTCGCGTTGTGTCTAGACAATTTACAGAACCTCGCACGTGTAACCAGTAGTTGTTCTGTGCCATCTAGGAAATAATCACAGGAGAAAAGAATCTACGTGGTCTACGTGGCCAGCAAGACACAGCAATGGGCCTGTTTTCCCAGGCCAATAGCTGGGAGCTGGATGGGAAGTGGAGCACCAGTGCTCATATATGGGATGACGGCGCTGGGAAAGGTGGCTTAACTTGCTCTGCTACTACACCGACCACAGACACATCTTAATTTTTTTAGTATTTTCTGAGGTTGGTGGAAACTGGATGCCTGTGTCTGTGTCCCAGAGGTCTGGAGGGCTGTGTGTGTGTGTGTGTGTGTGTGTCCTGTAGGTGCAGAGGGCTGGTTTTCATGCACATGTGCACGTGAACAAACATACAAGCCTTGCGTGTGCATTCGTCTCAGGGTGGAGGGAATGGTGAGGCCGTGGGGTTCACTGTGAGTCCAGCATGGGCTCCTGGTCCAGTGCTCACTGTGCTCACTGTTGGCCAGCTCTTTGGACAGTGAGATTCCTGGCTTTTGTTAACATTTCAGTGTGGTAGCTAAATGCCCCCTATAGAACCAGTTTGGCCTTCCTCCTTGCTTATACCATTTTTTCCTTCCCCTGTTTGCATGCTGAGTCTCACACCCCAGGAAGCTGGCCTGTAGTGAGGCAGGCTTGCAAGAAAATGTTCTTCTCTGGTACCTGGCCCAAATCCCGTGTCTGCGAGTTTGTCACTGGGAGAGATTGGGAATGCAGGCAAAGCCTTTTCCACAGAAGGTTCTGTGACCCCCTACGGGGCAACAAGGAGCTCCCTGCAGTTTTCATATGTGAAGTCATTGGCAGCAGGATGCATTCGTGACGTGATATTGATGTTGGAAAGTGAAAAGGGAGGCTGATGTGTTGGCTCAGCGGCTAATCCTTGCTGCAAGCACCAGCATCCCATGTGGGTGCCAGTTCATGTCCTGGCTGCCCCTCTTCCCATCCACCTTCCTGCTTGTGGCCTAGGAAAGTAGCCAAGGATGGCTCAAAGCCTTGGGACCCTGCGTCCATGTGGAAGGCCCAGAAGAGGCTTGAGGCTCCTGGCTTTGGATTGGCTCAGTTCTGACCATTGTGGCCATTTGGGGAGTGAACCAGCAGGAGGAAGATCTTTGTCCTTCTCTTTGTAAAATCTGCCTTTCCAATGAAAATAAAGTTTGAAAGCAAGGTTATGAAATGATGCCTACTGTAATCTAAATTGGTTTAAAACAAAACGAGTGAAAAAGCAACAGGCCCAAATGGCGCCCACCACTTCCTTGGGGCATAAACTTGTGTGTGTAAATGCTTTGGAAGGTTTGGTGTGGAGGGGCTGGTTTTCTGATGTGTGGGTGCCACAGCAGGCACAGCTGTGCGTCATAGCGGCAGTGTGCTAGGCAGAGGTGCCCCTGGGCCTGGTACTCCCCTGTAGGACTTTAAGGACACTCCCTGGGCCCTCTGGGCTTCAGGCTCCATCCTCTGTGCTCCCAGGACAGCCTGGGACACCTCACCCAGGGGACCAGGAACGGAGATTTTGTTCCTTTCTTGCTAAGGGTTAAACGTTTGAAAGTTGAAGTTAGAGACAAGTCTTCTATCTGCTGGTTCAATTCTCAGATGACCTCAGTACTCAGGGCTGGGCCTCACCAAAGCCAGGAGCTTCTTCTAGGCCTTCCATATGAGGTGCAGGGGCCCAGAACGCTTAGATCATCTGCCTCTGTTTCCCAGGTGCATTATCAGGGAGCTGGATGGGAAGTGGAGCAGCCAGAACACCAAGTGGTGCCCATACAGGATGCCCAGCATCTTTTGAAACCCCACAAGTTTTCAGTAGATAATGTCCACTTAACATCCTCATCAGCATTTCTGTTGTGACGCTGCCTTGTGTGTTGTAACAAATATCATTTCATGGAACCCTGTCTGAATCCTATGTGCTGTTTTCCAAGTTATTCCAAGAGCATACTACTTTTATGGCCATTGAGTAAGTTGAAATATTCGGAATATTTAAAGAGGTACCAACAGTTTTATAAAATAGTTTGCCATCTATAGCTTTAATAATGGAATGAGGTTCTGGCTGCCTTCCACTGTGCCATGGGTGGTGTTGGTACCATCTCTGGGTGGGGATCTCAGTAGTTGCTTCTGAGAGTGCCAGCCAAGAGAGAACCATGAAGCCCTGTGGCTGCTCATGTTTGTGCAAGAGTGGGACCTCGAGGCTTTCTGTGGGTCTTGGTGGAGTTGGCACTCATGCCCCAGTTTCTGGAATGTCTTTCCACTCACTGGGCACGTACCACAGGCTCAGAGGGTCTGAGCAGTGGGCGGTGGAGGGGCAGGACCCAGCTCACAGGGCAGAGCTCGCCTCTGGCTAGCCCTGGTCACAGGCACTGCAGACCTGGTGCTGCCAGTAGGACCTGATGTTTCAAAAGAATCCAGAAACCCACATTGTGTGGTACACTTCAGCGGAACAGGAGACGTTGGGAACTGATTTCCATATTTTGACTGACATATGCAGGTTGTGGCATGTGTGGGCCTCAGAACAAGTGCTGTCATCGAGTTGGTCCTTGAGCTGTGCCAAGGGAAGTGGCCTTGATGATAGGTGGCCAGCCGGCAGGCAGCAGAGAGCCCATGGTGGCTGTGGTTGGGTGTGGGTGATGGCTGCCAAATCTGGGTCCCTGTGGGTAGTGAGGGCTCACTGGGGCCTTGTGCCCTCCCCTCCTGTGAGTCAGTCCCTCCCAGTGACGCCCTTTGGGGTGGGGAGGTGATGTGGGTGGAGCTGGGCCAGCACTGCTGCCTTGCGGAACAGGGTGAGGCTCTAAGGGACCATGCAGGTGCACTGGAGTCCATGCCATCCAATTCTGGTGGTTTCTCTTGCAGAATGTTCACGTCTTACCACAGACAGTTCTCTACATGGCTGATTCTGAAACTTTCATTAGCCTTGAAGAATGCCGTGGCCATAAGAGAGGTAACTGAAAAACGGGCTTTGTGGTTTGCTATTTCCCTGTGTGCCTTGGTTTGCAGTTAGGGACTTCCTGGGGCCGTCCTTGGTACTCTAGCCTGATATGCATGGGGATTTAGAATGCTCATGGAAAAGTGGATGTAGACACATGTTGGGGCAGGCATTGGGGGCCAGTGGCTAGGTTGCCTCTAGGCCACATCAGAGGGCCTGGGCTCGCTGCTCAGCTCTGACTCCCAGCTTCCAGCCCAGCTGCCCCGAGAGGCAGCACTGCCCGCATCAGTCCCCCAGTGCCTGTCATCCAGGTGAGAATTCTGACTCGAGTCCCTGACTCCTGGCTGTGGCTTCAAACCCTCTGACCATTGCAGGTATCCGGGAGGTGAACCAGAGGGAGGGCCTGTCTCCCTCTGTGTCTCAGGCTTTAAAAAAAAAAAAGGTATTAAAAAGTAAGCTTGTTTTGGGATAAAAAATATTGAAATCCAAGTATACAGTGAGTATTGATTTTTATTGGAAAGGCACAGTTACTGAAAGAGAAGGAGAGACAGATTTTCCATTTGCCCGTTCGTGCTGCATTGGCTGGAGCTGGGCCAAGAGCCTGGAGCTTCTTCTCAGTTGCCTGCGTGGGCACGGGCGCCCAGGCACTCAGGCCATCCTCTGATGGATGTCCTCTGCTGCTCTCCAGGCCATTAGCAGGAAGCTGGATGAGAAGCAGAGCATCCGGGATGTGAACTGACGCCCTCACAGGAAGCTGGTGCTTCAGGCTGGGCCTTAGCCTGCTCTGTCGCCACAGCTCCAGCCCCACAAAAAAAAAAAAAGTGTTTTTCTCACTTGGAAATGTGTTAATCCTCACTTGGGCATGTTTTAGGGTTAAAGGAACATACATGATTTTACCTAATTTCATTGTGTTTGAATTACGGGGTCCCATTGACCAAAATTACAGATGCTGTGCATTCTTGGTTTGCTGAGCATGCTGAGGCCCCGGGTTAGACCTGGAGGTGTGCAGTGGGCAGCCGTATGCAGTAACCTGCCAACCAGGAAGACACACAGCATGTCTGAAATTCAGCTGCTGTTTCTGAACTTGGGTCCGCCGAGGCAGAAGCAGAAAGGACGCAAGCAGGAAGGGTCTGGTTGGGAGTTCAGTCTGTCAGGGTAGACCCAGGGTGGGTGGCAGCATGCATAGGGGGACCTCTTTGGAGTGTGTGCCAGTGCCCGGAACCTGCAGGGCATCCCTAGGACCAGAGCCCACTTGGGGTGGATGGTTACCAGCTTCGCTTCTGTCTTGCAGCAAGGAAGAGGACGAGTATGGAGGCTGCGCTGGCCCTTGAGAAGCTGCTGCCCCGGCACTGCCAGGTCCTTGGAATTGTGGCCCCCGGAATCGTTGGTGAGAGAGCGGTTCTGTTTGGCTCCATGTTTGTGAAGTTAGCGTGGCTGCCCACACATCCACCAGATGCACTGCACGTCTTCTCGCTAGCCTTTTATTCCATCCCTCTCTGACCCTCAGATTATAGCAGGGTTTCTGGCATTTGGTCGGACCAGCTCATCCTGTTTCTGGCAAGTCAGGGTGAGATGGTGCTGGCTTTAGAGCTGCCATGGGTCTAACCAGAAACTTGTGTTTCTCCCCCTGGCTGCGGCTGCCTGAGGAGTATGCCACATGACCCTGGCTGGGGAGTCTGCCTGCTGCCATGGTTGTTTGGTGTTCCTTTCCACAGTGACAAGAGACACTCGGTAAAGCAGCATCCCAGCTGCGCTCGTCGTGTCCAGAAGACTTGGGCATGTTCTCTGACTTCCTGGAAGGACAGTTGCCTGGCAGTGAAATGGAACCTTCCTTGGAGGGGTTCTAAAGGTTAAGCACTTAAGAGTTGAGGGGCTGGGGTTGTGGCACTGCAAGTTAAGCTGCAGCTCGTAACACCGGCATCCTAGATCCACATTGGAGCACCTGTCCAGGTCTCGGCCACTCTGCTTCTGAGCTGGCTTCCTGGTAATACACCTGAGAAGGCAGTCCCAAGATGCCCTGAGTGCTGGGGCCACTGCCCACGTGGGAGCCCTGGATGCAGTGCCGAGCTTCAGCCTGGACCAGCCCTGGCTGTCAGCCATTTGGGGAGTGAAGCAGTGGATGGAAGAGCTTTCTGTCTCCATCCTCTCCCAATCTGTCACTTTGCTTTTCAAATAAGTAAGATAAGTTTTGAAAATAAAGCACTGAGAACTGAGATATGCAGGAAGCAACAAGAAAGAGTTAGCTGCAGTTTTCTTTGTTCCATCTCTGCAGTGCTGTATATTCTACAATTGACATTTTTAAACTTCAGCAAAGGAATGTTTTTATTTACGTTACAGAGGCTTGTATGGTGAGGCACCAAGGGTTTTGGGTGTTTCCGCATGGGTGGGGGCCAGCCTGCGCAGACGGGGTCCGTCTTCCCTGCCTGGCAGTTCCCCACGCTGCCCTGGTCTGGGTATTCTCTCACGTACTTCCTTTCTCTTTGCATGACACAGAGTGATAGCCCTGACCAAACTGTTGTGTTGCGTGGTGACTTGTCCTGTGTGGGCCGCCTAGGTCATTACCGTTCCTGGCATTTCCTGGGTCTCCCCTTCATACCACTGCAGTGACCCCTACATTTGATCAGGTTTCTGTTGGGGTCAGACCTGGGTATCCTGCCCGTGGTGTCCCCAGCGTGGGCATGGGGTGTCTGCTGAGCCCTCCCTTGGTGCTGCGCTGAGGTGGCACTGACTTGGTCCTGCCTCCCTTGGGTTTCCCGGGCTTGCCTGTTGGCAGGCTGGTGCCCTGCAGCACTTGCCTCCTGGCTGCCGTGAGCAGGTGCCACATGTGTCTGAGCAGAACCCACCGAGACAGTTGAGGTTCTCCCAGGCATCAGCCACTAGCCCAGCTATTTTATTTTGTTTTTTATTTGAAAGGCAAATTTACAGGAAAAAGGAGAGAGGGAGAAAATGGGGGAAGGGAGAGAGATTCTTCCATCCACTGCTTCACTCCCCAAGTGGCCGCAACAACCAGAATCTGAAGCCAGGAGTCAGGAGCTTCTGTGGGACTCCCACGTGGGTGTAGAGTCCCAGTGTCTTGCCATCCTCTACTGCTTTCTCGGTCCATAAGAGGGAAATGGGTCAGAAGTGAAGCAGCCAGGACATGAACCAGTGCCCATATGGGAATGCTCGCACTGTAGGTGGAGGGTTAGCCAGTTGAGCCCCACTTTGCTGACCACCTCCCATTCTATTACAGGTTGGGAAAACCTCATTATCAAGAAAAATGTGTTCATTTTTATAGGTGCAGAGATCTCTCTTCTTTGTTGATTTTGGCTTACAGTAAAATTCACAATTTTTTTGAGATTTATTTATTAGAAAGGCAGGGAGAGCTCCATCTTCCATCCGCTGGTTTACTGCCCAGGTCTGGGCCAGGCTGAAGCCAGGAGCCTGGAGCTCTGTGTCTCCTCTGTGGGTGGCAGGAGCGCAAGCACCCTGGGGCCTTCCTCTGCTGCTTTCCCAGGTGTATTAGCAGGGAGCTGGGTTGGAGGTGGAGCAGCTGGGACTTGAACCAGCACCTATACAGGGTGCTGGCGTCACAGGTGGTGGTTTCCCCAGCATGCTCAGTCTCTAGTATGCAATAAGCGAATGTTTACTCTGTGTGGCTCCCACACCAGTCAAGCCGTGGAAGGTTTCTGTCACCCTGGGAAGGCCCCTCTTGCTGTTTTCCACGGACCCCTACCTGCTACAGAACCGTCCGTGGTGTGTGGGTCATGTTCTGTGACTTGAATACCCACACTTGGCCTTCCATTCTCTCTGATGGGCAATTGTGTTCCTTCTAGTTCCTGGCCATTGTGAAGGAAGTTTTTGGAAACATGTTTGTGGAGCTGGATCAGTTCTTAGGCAATTTCCAAGTAGTGGGATTGGGTCAGGTGTGTTTTTCATTGTAAAGGAAGCTGTGGTTTTGTGTCATCTGACCTCATTTGTGTGATATGTGAGGGCCCCAGCTTTGACTACCTGCTGGCAACGGGCCCTCTGACCCTCGGACTTTTATTTGGAAGGCAGACCTTCCACCCGCTGGTTTCCTCCCCAGTCGGCCACAGTAGCTGGGGCCGGGCCAGGTTGAACCCAGGCGCCCACAGCTCCACCTTGGTTTCCCATGTGGGCGGCAGAGGCGCCAGCACCTGGGCCAACTGCCACAGCTTTCCAAGTGCATGATCTAGGAGCCGGATCAATGTGGAGCAACCGGAATTCAGGCTGGCACTTTACCATGGGATGGCGGCCCTGCAGGTGAAGGCTTGACCACTAGGCCCTGCGGCTGGCCCCCAGTCAGTGTCTGTGTGAGGAGGGATCCAAGCTCACAGAGGCCTGCTCGGATGGCACCTGTCCCCGGGGTCCTGTTAGAGGGAGTTCTGTGAGCTGGCCATGTTCATCCTGTGTGGTGTTTGTAAGGTGGGACTTTGAGGTCGACTTTGCCCCATGTGTTTGTTAGTTAACTCCTTGAACGTTTGTGGAGAGCTGTCCTCTCCTCCTTCAGCGCTCTTGTACTCTTGTCAGGAGGTGGCTGTGTGTGTGTGACCTGGCTGCCATTCTGTCCTGTTCCCTGGGTTACCTGCCCAGTGTGAGCCCTGCACCATGTCGATCCTCTGCACTGAAGGTGTCCTCATCCTCAGGCTGGCCTCAATTCCCCTCACAGCTTACACACGTAGCCTTGGCCTCCACATGGAGGCCTTGGGGTTATAATTCAGGTGGGCCTGGGACTGGCTGTGACATTCTTTAAAATTGCTTCTACTTTTTGAAATTTTTGTAAAATTTGTTTCTATTGAAAACAAAGAAAAGGAGAGCCAGAAAGGTCCTTGTCTGCTGGCTCACTCCCCACGTAGTAGCAACAGCCGGAGCTGAGCTAATCCGAAGCCAGGAGCCCGGAGCCTCCTCCAGGTCTCCCATGTGGGTGCAGGGTCCCAAGGCCTGCTTTCGCAGGCCACAGGCAAGGAGCTGGATGGGAAGTGGGGCAACTAGTAAAGACCATTTGTTGTTAGCAGGGCAAACTATCACAAGATACAGATCAGCCCCTGCCCCACAAAGTAAGCAACTAATTCAGCAGCATGGGGTGCACCCTGTGTGCACGTGCAGTGTCGCCGTTGCTGTTGGCAACACAGCCAGGGGATGAGGTTGAATTACAGCCTCCACGCTCACCTGTGAGGCTGCTGAGACAAGCACGGTGTGGGAGCCTTGTCACAGGAACCCCTCTCCTTCCAGTTCCAGGGATGCGCGTCCAGGAGCCGAACTGCTTTCCCAAGCCCCGCACAACCCCTTTTCTTCTGCCCGACCACACCTGGTGTCTCCTGTTCACACCCGTTAGAACCTCCACAGATCTGCTGGAATCGGGGTTCCGCTCTGAGCGGGGAGCGGGGAACACAGTGCGGTGGGAGCACCTGCTCCTGACATCCCTCACTGCCCCACATTCCGGACTCACTGCCATGTCACTCTGCATCTGCCTGTCATCGTTCTGCTTTAAAAGGGTCTTACTCATTTCCATTTATTTTGAAGGGCACACAGAGCATTCATTTGCTGGTTCACTCCCCCACAAGCCTGTAACAGCCAAACCAGACCCCTGGCCAGAGCTGTGAACTTGGAGGGTGAAAGGGACAAAGTGCTGTGTCATCAGCTGCTGCCCCCACGGTGTGCCTTGACAGGAAATGGAATTGGAAGAGGAACAGGCACAAAACCAGGCCCCCCTCATGGCATAGGGGCATTCTTGGCAGGGCATTGCCTGCACACCCCATTGTCATTCAGCGGAAGATGGCCCTCCTGCTCGAGGCTCTGGGCTCGCCTCACCCTGCTGCAGCCCTGGTGGTTACAGCCGTTGGGCAGAGTATTAGCAGATGGAAGATCTGTCTCCCTCTTTCTCCGTTACTCTGCCTTCCAAATGTATTCATTTTTAAAAAGTATTTGTACACATATTTAAATATAATTCTCAAGCATTTTTTAGAATAATTTTTTATGTGGAATGGTTACAGATGTGCATTTGCTATGCCTCCGCTACCTTTTTATTTTTTTAACCTTGAACCTTTGGCAAAGCTGAAAGAGTAACAGAATAATACATTCTGTCTCAGTCCCCCAGGCATCCTTCATCTAACTCCACTAAGTAGAAGACGTTTGCTGGCTTTGTTTTTGCTTTCTGAACCATTGACGTCAAGCTGCAGCCCTGGCCTGGCACCGTGGGAAGGCCGGCAGGCGCCAGCCTGGCAGGGGGTGGCAGTCGCGGGGCTGGGTCCTGGTGCATCTGTCCACAAAGCTCTCCCTTTGCTCCCTAGTGACTCCTATGGGATCCACTGGCAATCGACCTCTGGAGATAGAAATTGGAGAATCTGGTTTTGCTCTGTTGTTCCCTCAGATTGAAGGAATAAAAATTCAGCCCTTTCATTTTATGAAGGATCCAAAGAACTCCACACTAGAGAGACACCAGCTCACCGAAGTAGGTAAGTGACCGCTACTGGTGGCGGCTCGTTCTGTCTCTTTTGGCTGACTCATGGCTGTGACCTCCCATCGAAAGGCCTGACCTGAACACAAATCACAGGTGTGTCTGGAAGTGTGGCCACCAGGCTACTGTGCCAGGCCCCCGAGCAGTATTCCATAAGCAGATGGTACAGTAAGCACCCTTCAGAATGCTCATAGGAAAGCAGAATGAGTCATTTCATTTTGCTGCAAAGTATTTTGAAATCTATACCTACATTTTTTGTAGTATGTGTTTTCTATGAACCCTTTAACGACCCTTGCCCCCATATATGCGGTCTTAACACTTTGTCAACAAGAAACAAATTTAACCTGTAGTTTATTTCCTGTGAACCCTGGGAAGGAAGTGTGTGTGCCTCTGGTGGGCCTTGTCTGCATTCCAGGGCCAAGTGTCGGGGAGACCTGTGCAAGCAGCCCCCTTCCCCCTGTGTGCGCCTAGCCTTGGGCTCTGACACTGTGTCCTCCTCTTGATAGCCTGCTGAGGTCAGGGGACGCCCAGCTGGTTGAGGTGTTGGCCTCTGTCCTGGGAGCAGGGCCTGAGCGCTGAGGTTTCTGGGCGGAGGATGAGTGTGCTGGCCTACAGCATCCCGTCAGGGCTGGGAGCACTGCTGTGCTGGGTTTTTGCTCACTGTGCTTTCGGCTGTCTCCTGGTGCCAGCAGCTGTGGACAGAGCAGGAGCTGGGCTGCGGGCAGCAAGGGCGTTTGGTGGACTGTGTCACCCCTGCCCACATGGACCACACAGTAGCCATGTGAGGAGCTGGGGCAGGTCCTTGCCCGTGGCTTTGCCGTCCTTGGGTGCAGACACGCGCTGTGTCCCTGCTGGTGCTGCTCACCACACCATGTTGGAAACGTAAGGCAGCAGCTGGGCGAAGGCCTGTGCACTGGGCACACCCCGAATCCCAGGGGGCGAAGCAGATCACCCAGCGGGATCCATCATGAGCCCATGCTGGTCATGGGAAGTGGCACCGACCCTGTCTTGGGGGGCCTCCAGTCTAGCAGAGCAGGCTGATTCATGGGAGCCAAGACGACCCCAGGTGCACAGGATGTGGACCCTGCAGTTCCACTGGGGAGAACCCCAGAATTCCAGCTTGTCTGGGAGAGGTGCACATGGGGCAGGGCCACTGGGGGAGCACAGCCAATGTGGATTCTCTCGCTCTGGCCTTTCAGCAGTGTAGAAGTGTGTCCGGGTGCTACTTATATGTAATGGGTCCATATGATAGTCACAAGTTAAAGTTGCTTTTTAAAAATTGGATGCAGGCGACAGCAGGAAGCAGCTGTCGTGGGAAAGATGAGGGGTGGCACTGGCGGCCAGGTAGGGCTAGGAGGGGTGTGGCCCAGATGAGCAGCGACTGCTCACCTGACAGGGTTGCAGCTGGGGCTTGCTCTGCATTGTTCACTGAAGCAAGGCTGGAAGCGCAGCCCGAGCAGAAGGGCTGCCTGTGTCACCTAGATGTGCTGTGTTCGGCTTGGGACCTAGTGCAATTACTGGGTTCAATGGGCATAGAGTCCTGAGGTGGTGAGAGGTCTGGCTCAGGAGGGGGAGTCCACAGTGGTCCTGGCCATGAATGCTCTCCAGCTCCCCACCCCGTTCCCCCATGGTGTCTGGTCCTCTCACTGCAGTTCTGTGCTGGGTGGCTGGTACATCTGATGACAGATGGACACAGGACTGTTTGTTGTCCTGCCCAGCTTGGGGTAGCTCTGAAGCTCTGTGCCCCACTGGGACTCGCCAGCTGTGACCAGAACAGCTTCTGGCAGCAGAGACCACTGTGCCCACTAACAGGAGAGCTGGCGCCCCTTCCTGCCCCTGTGCTAGACTCCTGTTACAATTTTCCTGCAGTGAAGACCTGCTAGGGGTGCCAGCAGTCATGGGGGTCCTCGGCAGGAAGTGCCTAGGCTGTGCCACTTCTTGGTAGGTGCTGTCCCATCTGACAGCCAACATGGCATGTGTTCCTTGCGCCTGCATTGGGCTGCAGCCGGTGGCTGGACGTGGCTTGGATGCTTACTGTGATTGTGGAAGCTGCTGCCTCCCAGACAGTGTGGAAGCCAGGCAGCCTTGCCCAAGTGCTGCGATGTCAGTGAGGTAGGTGCTGGGACGGGGCCCCTCGTGGCCCAGCTGCTACTGTTCAGCACCATGGATGACTGCCCTGGAGCTCTGCCAGCAGCCAGGACTTCCTCAGTCCAACTCAGAAAGTTCTAGAATAGTCTGGTGGAATCAGTGTGGAACCCAAGGGAAGGAACTCCCACAGACGCTGCAGAGGCCTGAGTGACAGGAATGTATCCCAGGAGCCGGCTGGAGTACAGTGAGAGAGGTGGGCTGCCCGGGGAAGTCAGGCCACTTGGGGGTCTAGCCAAGGAGCAGGGTTCCTGGGGAGGTGGCTTCCTGCAGGTGACACACACTCTCACCCTTGTGCAGCATGTGAGGGGGTCCCAGGAGGCCTGCTTATGAGCCCGGTACATCACTTTGGGAGTAGATGTATCTGGCAAACGTGGTGGCAGGTGAGCTAGATCTGCAGGCCCTGGTGGCCTTCCTGCACTGACTAGGGGGACAGTGGGCACTGTGCTTGCTCCTGTGGAGTGGGATGGTGAGGCGCACAGGCAGAGTGCATGCTGGGACTCTCAGCTGGGCAAGCAGAGAGAGAGAGAGTGTGTGTAAAAGGAGGTGGCTCCTTTAGGACACACAGTTGCAAGTGTCCAGTGGACACCGAGGCCATGCACAGGGCTTAGGGGAGGCCAGCCGAGACTGGCAGACTGGCAGTCTGGCCTCTGAAAGCACAGCCCCGAGGGTGGGGAGGCAGGTTCCTGGGGCCGCCCTGGGCTGAGCACGTCCCTCTGTTGGTGTGCTTGGGGCTGCCTGGACCACTGCATCTGCAGGGCCCGCCTGTCCAGCAGTCGACCTGCCGTGGTTGGGTGGATGGCATCACAGGTCTGGGTGATTTCTGTGTAGAGCATCAGAAACAACGAGGCCGCTCCCAGGACTGACCACTCCTTGAGGGAGCCTGGTTTTCAGGAACCTTCACGTCAGACCTGTCAAGGTGGAATTTACTTGACAGGTCATGGAAACAGGTCTGTGGTTAAGTGTTGGGATTTTTTTCCCCCATCCTAGAAGCTACCTGTGCTTGGAGATGCTGGCCAAGTTCAAATTGATGTTTTGCAGACAAGGCGTCCACTGCGGCATAACCTTATTCTGAAGTCTGTAGGTTCTGCTGCCTCTTAGCAGCAGCAGCTTTTTAAAAGCATTTATTTTTATTTGAAAGGCAGATTTACAGAGACCCTGCATCTGTTGTGAGAACCCCAAATGGCTGTAATGGCCAGACATAACTTGATTAGGAGCCAGGAGGTTCCTCTGAATCTCTTGTGTGGATTCAGGAACCCACACACTTGGGCTGTCCTCTGCTACTTTCCCAGGCCATAAGCAGGGAGCTGGATCGGAAGTGGAGCAGCCAGGACATGAACTGGCGCCTGAATGGAGGGAGCAGCTGGGACACGAGCAATGCTGCCATCCACAGAGGCCATGATGCTGATTCTGTGGCAGCTGCTTTTACTCTGTGTGCACCTGCCTGGCGGGGGGAAGGGGGTGGCAGGAAGCCTGGCATTCTCTGACGTCATCAATGCCTGAGGCTGCTGTAGCCTCGTTTCACACTCCAGTGGGTGCTGTGGTGCAGCCGGTGATGTTGCTGCTTGGGATGCCCATATCCCATCAGAGCGCCCAGGTTCAAGTCTCACCTCTGCTGCTGTGCAGCCACAGGCTGATGTGCGTGACAGACAGGGATCTAGCTCTGGGCTGCTTGCCCGGCCCGGCCCCGCCCAGCCCTGGCTTCTGTGGGCACCTTGGCAGGTAAACCAGGGATGGAAGATCCCTGTGGCTCTGCCTTTCAAATAGGAACAATGAATGAAACTTAGAAAAATAAAATTGTATCCTGCCACAGTTTGGAAGGTGCAGCTGCACACCGAGGTGCCAGTGGTGCCACCACCCTTCAGAGGCACTGGAGAGAGTTGGGGTCCTCTCTTAGTACTCACGTTAGTGGCATCACGTTAGTGGTGACTGGGGGATCAGTGGACCACCCAGGCTGCTGAGGTCATTGCACCCCGAGACCTCAGGTTAAATCTGCAGAGAAGCCTTCCCACAATCAGGTAGGGTTCCTGGGCTCCGGGGCCTGGGCATGGTCCCTGGCGCTGGGCCTTCCCTCGGGTCTCTGAATCTGCTGCTGCTGACTGTTCGCGGGAGGCTGGGCAGGGTCTGCGTGCAGGCTCTGTGCACCTGCTCCCACCCCCTCCACTGCCTCATGGGGGAGAGGGCTGATCAGGTGACATGGGTGTGTGTACACGGTGTCAGGAAGGGACAGTGTGAGCAGTAGGTTACCGTGTGGGAGGGCTGCAGGCACTAGCCGCGTTCCTGTGCTCCTGTGTGCAGGCTGTCTAATGGGGCTTTTGCTTCCTGCCCAGGTCTCCTAGACAACCCCGAGCTCCGCGTGGTCCTGGTATTCGGTTACAACTGCTGCAAAGCAGGGGCCAGCACATACCTGCAGCGAGTAGTCAGCACCTTCAGTGACATGAACGTCATCTTGGCCGGGGGCCAGGTGGACCACCTGTCATCACTGACCTGCGGAAGGTATGTCCCAGCGCTTTCGATTCCCTAGGAAGCCGTGTGGAAACTGGGCTGAGTTTTTGTTACCATGGGCTTTTAATTTCCGTTTTTATTTGAAAGACAGAGTTCTATCTCCCGGTTTACTCCCCAGATGCCTGAAGGAGCTGGGTCTGGCTGAGCCAGGACCTGGGAGCTCAGTGTGGAGGTCCCAGTGGATGTCAGGGCCCCAGCTGACTGACACTTGAACCCAGATGTTCTGACAAGGCATGCCCGTCCCCAGGGGCATCTGGATGCCATGACCCCTCCCCCCAATACACACACCTGCACACACTGGGGGTGTGCTTTCCTTGGAGAGCTTCTCCCTGAACTCACAGCTCTTGTTTGTGGATTCCCATTCGTGCCTGCTGCTCCCCCAGCGATGGCTCTGGTCTTCTGGGTGACCTCCATCCATCACTTTGTCCTGTTGGAGTTGCCTTCCGATGCTCTTGGAGGGCCAGTGCAGGTCCCGTGTCCTGTGGTCACCCCGCCTGCGGCCATGCTGCCCTGTGGGTCCCCTGGTACTCCTAGCACTCAGTTTAAGAAATTGTGTTTTGAAGCTCAGATATTTCGGAGCTTAGATTTTGTTACTAAGGTTTTCACCTCCAGAGACTGTAATCTCTGTTCTTTATTCACACTAAAAAACGTGACTGATTTGAAAGGCAGAGGGACGGACTGACCGCTGGGCTGCTGGCCAGGTCACCCACGGCCGCTGCAGGTGCTGGGGGGTGGATGGAATCCCAAGCACCAGACGGCTTCCACAAGGTCCTGGAAAAGTTGTTATAGAAACTGTCCATGGGGTTCAAAACGTTTTGCACCAGGTTAAGCTTTTATCCACCTATTTTTTGAAGGCCCCTCATATTACTGAAGAGATGTGATAAAAGGGGGACTTTGAGTGCTACAGCCAGATCCTCTGTGTTGGCGGGTGCTGCAGGATGGTCTGCCTGCTGCACACAGCCCAGCGCCGAGGGTCTGCAGGCAAGGAGCTGGGTGCCACGGACTCGCTGCCAGACGGGGGTGGGGGAGGCTGTCCTTCGTGCTCGCTTTCCTCTGCCGTGGGCCTCCCTGCAGCGGGCAGCTCCATCTGGGCGGCCTCAGCCTTTCGTGCTGGTTTCTCCCACATTGCCAGTCTTTTCTTGCCTTTTCCAGGCGCCCTCTGGGGGTGGAGGCTGCCGGCGTGGTGGGCCTGGCCTTCAGTGGGCCCCGGATCCAGAGTGCCACCGTGCTGCTCAACGAGGACGTGAACGACGAGCCGTCGGCCGAGGCCGCCATGCAGCGGCTCAAGGCGGCCAACATCCCGGAGCAGAACACCGTGGCCTTCATGTTCGCCTGCGTGGGCCGGGGCTTCCGCTACTACAGGGCCAAGGGGAACGTGGAGGCCGACGCCTTCCGGAAGCTTTTCCCCAGGGTTCCCTTGTTTGGCTTCTTTGGGAACGGAGAGATCGGCTGCGACCGCATCGTCACCGGGAACTTCACCCTGAGGAAGTGCAGCGAACTCAAGGGCGAGGACCTGTTCCACAGCTACACGACCGTGGTGGCGCTCGTGCACCTGGGCTCGCCCCAGTGAGGCCGCTGCCAGGCTGTGGGCACACCTCGGGCTCCAGGCGATGGGAGCAAAGAGAAATTGGGCTCTGTGCGGTGCCTGCGGCGGGCGCTGTCAGCACCCTGGGGTGCTCTCTCCCACTGCGCTGGTGGAGGTCTCAGAGAAGCAGCGGAGGCTCTGCCACGCAGCACAGTGGGCCAGTCAGGCAGCTGCGTGGACGGGGCTCTGTCCCCCGTGGAGGAAGGCCAAAAGGAGGTTGGTCGGTAGGATGACAATTTAGAACATTCCATGGCTACCTCTTTTTCTTGTAAGATGATCTTTTAGCAGAATTAAACATTTTTTTTCTCCTTCAATAAAGGAGAGAATATACGAACGGGCTGGGAAATCTTCCTCTGCTTTTCAGTTTTGCCAATACTTCAGAGGCTGCAAGGCTATATTACTGACCTTTTTTAACTCATTTGATAAAAATTTGAACTATTTTTGTTTGGTAGTCTAATTTTGAATTGCCAAGGGTAATTAGTATTGTATTGTAAGTGAAACATTTTCAACAAAGACTGTAAGAGACTTTTTTTTTTTTTAAATGAATCCAGAGAATTGGCGAGAGTTCAGTGATCTCACTCTGGGGTTATGCTGATAAAGCACACCTTGGCCGTGCACACCTCTCTGCTGCTGGGTGCAGGCAGGGTGGCGGGCAGCTCCCCGGCCTGGCCTGTGCCTGGCAGGCTAGTGAAGGCACACCCCTGAGCAAGGGCTGTCTGAAATGGGGGAACAGCCAATGTCTTCTGGGTGCCCGCCTGCGGTGGGCTGTGCAGCGCCCCCGGCCACACCCACGGGAGGCTCCAGGCCTGCGTGGCTGCCCTGGGTAGAGGCGGGCAGGGTGGGACCTGTTCAAGCCGCAGCATTGCTTCCAGCTCCGGCCTCGGATGCGGTTGTTAGTCCATTCCAGGTAGCAGGACACATGTGGTGGTGATGGGCCAGGTTCCCACAGGCTGAGCAGGCAAGTCAGTTCCGTTTTCTACTTCAGTCACTTTTCTCCCTATTTTTACCTCAAAGGAATTTGTTCTTAGCATATAAATACATATGATTAAAAGCTTAAAGAGGTCCTTCGTTTTATGATTGTTCCAAATATTAATTCCAAATAAAGTTTTTAAAGGTTTGATTTTCTATTTATGACTGTATTTAGACATTTGCTTTGTACTGTTGGGCAGTGGGGTACATTCATTCATTTCAAAGTATTTGCCTTATCCAGCAGATAAAACTATTGTTGTCGCCGATACTAACGGGACTCGGTCAGGAGACTTACGGCTGAAATGGTGAACACACACAAGCCTGGGACCGGAGGTGGTTTTCAGATTCAACGGGACACGCTGGGCCTCTCCTCACAGGCAAGTACTGCAGGGTAGTTCCTGCCATCTGTGACAATGTTTCAGGTGATGTTTCTAGAATCTGCTGGAAACAAGAAGAGCTGGCCACTGGGCTGCAGCCTCAGTGCTGAGTGGGAAGGGCGGCGGAATGGCCTGGGGAACTGGAGCGTGAGGCACCTGCCTGCTTGGGGTCTGACCAAGGGTGACACTCCAACGGTGGCAATTCTAGAAGCACTGAGACAACACACAGTAAGAGGTAGTCACCAGCTGAGCTGAAACAACCAAGTCCCCATAGCAACCGAGGCAGTGACTTGTCAAATGTGATAAAAGCTCACCTGGCCAGGCTGAGGGGAGTGCCCCAGGGTGCCCACACAGCAGGCTGCCTGCCTTCCAGCACCCAGGGGAGTGAGCAGCCCGTTTAGCCAAGGCAACCTCTGTACCTGTGTGGAAGCCAAACCAGCCCTGGGCCCACCTGGCTTTGTAAAGACAGTGTCAAAGAGCTGAGTCTTTGCAGTTTGACTCAGAAAGAATGAAAGGTTGGCAGCCAAGCAGAAATCTAAAGAGAAGGAAAAGGAGAGTTTGGAAAGAAGACTTAGAAATAAAAGAGCACTTCAAATTCTTGGGAGGGTGCAGTACAATAGTGACTAAAGTTGTCACCTGGCCTGCGCCAGAATCCCGTATTGGTGCCAGTTCTCATCCCAACTGCCCCACTTCCCATCCAGCTCTCTGCCTGTGGCCTGGGAAAGCAGTCGAGGACAGCCCAAAGCCTTGGGACCCTGCACCTGTGTGGGAGACCCAGAAGAGGCTCCTGGTTTCTGGCTCATTCAGGGTCATCAGAGCTCCAGCCGTTGCAGCCACTTGGGGAGTGAACCAGCAGACGGAAGATGTTTCTGTCTCCTCTGTAAATCTGACTTTCCAATAAAAGCAAATAAATCCTTTTAAAAAAAGTTCTTGGGAAAAGCAATTTAAAGTAGCTTACTGTGGTGCCACACACACAAAAGGAGCTCCTTGAAGTGTTTTCATAGCTTGCATTTTCCACAACATCTCTGAAGACCCCGTAATGCCGTACAGGGGCTGGCAGGTGAGTGGGTGGTCAGCGGGGGACAGGTGGGTTCACTACAATGGTTTGCTCATTCTCCCAAAAGCTGGATTGAGGTGAGGGAGCAAAGATCTGCAAAGTTAGCAAATTGAACACACAAGGTTTCCCCAAGTGATTAGAAACAGGGGCCCTGGGCTTCCTGTCGTTGTAGGGACGTCACCCAGCTGGCGGCATGCGGCTGGCCAGCTCAGCATGCTGGGGAACAGAGACCCCATGGAAGACGGATGTCCTCACTGGGTGAGGGGGCAGAGCCCCAGTCCCCTCCCTCGGCCTGCAGGAAAATGAGATTTATCTGCAAATGGCAACAGCACAGTCCTGAGTGGGTGCCTGTTTGAGTCCTGGATTCTCCATCATCACTCCCTCTCTAACTCGGCCTTTCAATCAAAAAATAAATGTCTTTTTTTTTTTTTTTTACAAAGTATTTTATTTGAAAGGCAGAATTTCAGAGACAGATCTTTCATTTTTGCTGATTCACTCCCCAAATAGTTGCAACATCCAAGTCTGGACCAGGCGAAGCCAGGTCTCCCATGCTGGGCCGTATTCTGCTTTTCTAGGCACACTAGCGGGAGCTGAATTGGAAGTGGAACAGCCAGGAGTCAAACTGGCACCCATAAGGTTTGCTGGCACTGTGGGTAGATGATACCCTGCTGCTCCTTGGCACCAGACCCAAATAAAACAAACCCTAAAAGAAGAAGCTCCTGGCTCCTGGCTTCAGATCAGCTCAGCTCTGGCCATTGTGGCCACTTGCAGAGTGAACCAGTAGATGGAAGATCTTTCTGTAAATCTGACTTTCCAATAAAAATAAATTTTAGAAGAAAAGACCTGTATCCCAATTGGAAAATAAATGAAGTGACCTGTTCACATAGTGTGTGACCTTATGTTCAGAAAATCTGGAAGATTTCAAAGATCTATGTCTACACACCACATTGTCAGAGCTAATAAATTCTGTGAAACAGCATCATTCAACGTCAGCACACAAAAAGCAATTTACTCCTGTAACAATGAACAATCTGAAAAAATCAGAATTCCATTTCTAGGGGAATAAAAGGTGAAAATTACAACGGAATCTGCTTAACTGTAGCAGTGAGAGATTTCATAGACATGTTACATTCATTAATCAGAAAATATTGTTGATGTAACTACTACCCAAAGCAGCCTACAAATTCCACACAATCTCTAACAATCTCCGTGACCTTTTCCCATCAGAAGCTGGTGGCCATGTCAAATCCATATGGAACTCCCAGACATACAAAACAGCAAAATCAGAACAAAATAGACTCAAGCACTTACCACAAAGTACCAGTAGTCAACCACTGTGATTCTGACCTAAAGATGTGCACGTTACCTCAGAAAGTCTGTAGGAGATAACTTGATTTGGAGTCAAAGATTTTTGTGTTATGGAGGACACGATGGCCAATCAGAGTAGAAGGGTGCGGCCTTGAGTGGAGAGAGGGGAGCGGGGAGCGGGGCAGCCGGGAGCAGCAGGTCTCAAGAAGGAGAGTGGAGCTGCCTGGATGGGGACAAGTCCCTGAAAATGGCTGAGGTCGCTGCCCGTGGCTTGAGCGATGGAGAGCTATGGTCCGGGAGAACAGCCCTGCCTGTCCACAGTGGCGCTTGGGGAGGATCTGGAGCTGACACAAAGGGACACTGCACAATTGGGCTCCTGGAGTCCCCCAGAGAGGGAGCATGTGACCAAGAGCCATAGGAGCAAATCTCCATGCCCAGCACCTGTGGAGGAAGGCAAAGCTGAGTATAATTCTACAGGCTGCCACGCACGTCGAGATGGGTGCTGACACCACATTGGGGGAGCGATCCATTGAGGAGCTAGTGAGCCAAGTGGGGGAAGTGGGCACCTGGTAGAGGTGGGTAGAGGTAGTTGCAGAACTGGATTGGATCAACTCTGTGGGTTCTGGCAGGTAAACCAGAACTAGAGGCCCAAAGTGATCATGTAGGTGGACATTAGGACACACGTTAGGTGTGAGCTAGGCAGCAGGAGGTTGTGAAGGCTGACTGGGCGCACTAGGAGGGAACCAGATAGCACAGGCTTGTAAATGGGCACAGACAGACGCTGAGAGGGTCCAAGCACAAGCGAAGCCGCTGACCCAGCGTGCGGTTTCAGGGCACCACAGGCCACAAGTGGGGCATGAAAGAGTAAAGCAGCTACAATCAGCCATGCAGCTCTGTGGTGCCACAACCACTGTGGTGCCCGCCTCTACACCTGCAGCACCCGGCACCCAGCAGCCCCACACTGTGCCCCGCACCACAGTGCAAGTCCAAGCGGCGTGGCCACATGCTTTGCAACTGGGCAGCAACAAATGAAGGGACATTTGCTTCAAAGTCCAGAGAATTCCTCCCCCAAGCAAAGGGGACTTTCCCTTGCTGCTATTTTTGAGAAGTTTGCTCATCTGGAGAAGACTTGAGGTAGACCAGTCACAACTTGTTTGTCTTCAAGAGCAATAGCTACCCAGTCACCTAAGACAGCCAAAACAGATTGAAATCAGGGTGGTGGCCTCCCCAATCCGGGTGCCACTAGAACTCTGAGAGAAGTTAAGCAGAACAAAGTAGACAGAGCCCAGTAGCACCCCTGGCAGAGAGAGGCGGCTGGGTGGTGCTGGCTGCAGAAGCCAAGGCAGGGCCACAACACAAGAAAAGGCCAGGACCGGAAGGCTTCAGTGCTGAATTCCATCAAACATTCTAAGAACTTACCCAATCCTCCACAGCTACTCAAAACAATACAAAGGAAGACAGACCTTCCAAACTCCTTCACCTGGACCCAGTAAGATTTATGCCTGGCATGCAGGGATGGTTTAACATAAACAAATCAATAAATGTGATATATTATATTAACTAAATGAATAAAAACCATATGATCATCAATAGCTACAGAGAAGACATTTAATAAAATCCAACACCACTTCACGCTAAAATCCTAAGCAAGATAAGCATAGAAGGAACATTCTACAACACAATCAAAGCAATATACCAAAAATCCAAATGCCAGCACCATACTGCATAGGGAGAGACTAGAAGCTTTCCCTTTTCGATCTGGAACTAGAAAAGAATGTCCACTATCATAACTGCTACTCAATATAGTACTAAGCATCCTTGCTAGAGCTACTAGGCAAGAAAAAGAAAATAGAGGAATTCAAATTGGAAAGGGGAAGTCAAATTATCGCTGCTTGCATATGGTCTATACATTGGAGACCCAAAAGTCTCAATCAAGATCATCAAAATGTCCATATTCCTGAAAGTAATAGATTAGATGCAATCCCAATCAAAATCCCAACAGCATTCTACTCAGCTGGAAAAGGTACAAAAATTCATCTGGAAACACAAGAGACCATGAATACCCAAAGCTATCCTGAAAAATAAAAATAAACCTGGAAGAATCACCATTCCAGATTTAAAGACTTACTACAGGGGACCGACAATCAAAACAGCCTGGTACTTGTACAAAAGCAGGGAAGAAGATCAACAGAACAGAAGAGACCCTAGAAGGGAATTCACACATGTACAGCCAACTAATCTTCAACAACAGGACAGAAAATTCCCCAGGGAAAATGGTGGGCTCATCAACTAATGCTGTTGGGATAGCTGGACATCCACACACGGAGTTAAGAAACAAGATTCCTCCCTTTCAACTTAAATAAAAATTAAATCTAGGGCCCAGCACGGTAGCCTAGGGGTTAAAGTC